TGTTTTGTCTCCTCAGACTTACTTCACCAGCGTGTGGCGGTTTGAGTTCATACTATAAAAACTACTTCTCTCTAAAAACAGATTCGTCGAGTCTCTTTTGCAAATCCAATTTATCAAGAAGGACTGGCAGATGACATAGATAGGAGAAGTCCTGTTATTAGATCCCATTCTGCTTCGCCATCTTCCCGAAGTCTTAAAATTTTATCTAATATTCAGGCTAAGGTAAATCCTGTTACGTATATTCTGTAGGCCATAAGTACTCGCATTTCTCACTTATCGTAGGTAACATTGCTTTAGCGTATGTTCAGAGTCACTCGCGAACAATTGTAAGAGCAGAGAATCAGTAAGCGTAAGAAATAGTTGTAACTGGTTTAGCCTGACTCATTCTGTTGCTCTCTGAAGACAAATGCACACTGAGATCTAGGTAACTAGAATCTTACGGTTAACTGAATTCCTGTGATCCTGAGAGATCTTTTTTCCTCTTTTTCTATCCAGCATATTACCACTCCAACCAAAGGATTTCTGTCCCCAGGATCTCGTAACCCTAAATTTAAGAGCTCAAAGAAGTGTTTAGTAAGAAGTGCTTTGGTTCATGTATCTCTTCTATTTTTTCCTGTATTCAGTTGTGTGATAGTTAATCTAATAATTTTTCTATATTATTCAAGATTAAGGAGATGGCTAAGGAATCGCTGCCTTGCCCTACAGAATGCGTGTATCCTGCCTTAGTTGGCTGCAAAGCACCGGTTGATGTAATTTTACCTCAGCTTACATCAAACATATGGTGAGTCAGTTGTTGCTTTTGAATATTACGCTTTAATTGAAACTGAATTCTTACTGAACCTACAACCAAATCTCCTGATGCAAAATGTGATGACTTAGGGACATCTTTTGCCAAATGTTTTTAAAAGGAGGGAGTTGGTTTGGCGGGGGAGAGACTTAACTATTGTGGAATTATTCAGGTCTTTTTCGTAAGACTATGAAAAGCTTGCACCCAGGAACACGGGGAGCTCTCTCCACTTCACATGGCAGAGCAGACTGATCTTGATGATCTGTGACAAAGCAGTTGGAGCTTTCTATGTATTGAAGGTGAAGCGGAATTTAAAAAAAAAAAAACTAAACATCTACATTTCAAATGTACGAAGGCCGGCTGCTCACTAGCTTGCTTTCCGAGCTGAATTTTGACTTGTCACAACAATCCGTAGACGTGTAGTGGGAACTGCTCGGGATGGCCTTTTCTGGTGTACTCGGCTCCTTTTCCTTCCGCTCATACCACATAGGAGTGGGCTTTAGAACGCCGTTCTCTGATGGATATAGGATAAACTGCAAAAAGGTGTGCTTCTGCAGATAGAAGAACGTCATTTGCATTTTGTTTTTCCTTCACTTATGTGCCTGTGAATTGGCATTCGTGTAAGATTTCTTTCTGCTCTGCCGTGCCAGGCAGAAAGGACACGAGTTCTAGCATAATAAACCATTTTTCTTTCTCCCCTGCTTCAGCGCCAGAGGCTTGGGGCAGCTCATTCGAGCAAAGAACATTAAGACAGTGGGTGATCTGAGTACTTTGACAGCATCAGAAATCAAAACTCTTCCCATCCGCTCTCCGAAAGTTTCTAATGTTAAAAAAGCTCTTAAAGGATATCATGAGCAACAGGTAAAGTTTAATTTTAATACCCCAAAAGCCAATATTAGCCTAATGAACTGCTGACATCCATCATGAGGAATAACGGGGTTTTTCTTCCATTAGAAATAGCACTTCAAAATATAATATCTACTTCTCAAAGTAACATGGGAATTCAAGGTACGGGTGACTTGGTTATAATATTATTAATGGGAATAATGATTGTATTTATTATGAGGTTAAAACATGTCCCCCCATGTAATCTTATCCTACACCCGCCCCCACGACCGATTCTCTCTTGTTCTCTCCCAAAAAATCTTCAGGTAAAATCTCGAGGATCTGAGGAAGTAGCAGTGCTTGAAGATGCAGAAAAGCCTGTAAATAATGTAGAGGATAAATCTCTTTCTGTAGATGAAGAAAAACTGGCAACAGGTACCTATTGCTGGCTTTTTGCTTAGGATTTGGATGTTTCTGCTTGTATTGCTGCTTTCATTCTCTCCTAATGGGAACACTCGATTTTTTTTTTTTTTTTAGCGAGAGAGTGCGTTAATAGCTAATATTAGCACATTAGATGGTTGTTTGAGTTAGCCACTTTACGAAGCTGTGTAGCAATGGCTTTTAAAAACTTGTTACATATTTTGAGGGAAGGATGCTGGTTTTCCCTAAACGAGCTTGCATAAGCACGCGAAGAACAAATCGGGCAGGGCTCCAAGTACTTAATCTTCTTAATCTCAAGCGGGTATGTCTCCTGAGCTGCTTAATACCGTAGCAACTGCTGTGGTTCTGAGTGGGCACAGAAACAAGCAAGATGAAGGGTGGGACAGGAGGGGGCCGATTCCCTGGATACCCATTTTGGATTCGGGTGCCTAGATTTTTATTTGAAATCTCCTGTGCGTGTTGGGAGTTTGGCCCAATAGCTCGAACAGAGGAATTAATGTTTGGTCCTCCTGCAAGATACTTGAAGCGTTTGGTTAACTGGAGAACAAAGAACTCGGGAGTAACTTCTCCTCAGCTGTCTGGTTTAAAAGTTGGACTTTGGGATAACACGTCTCAAAGGACACTGGCTGGCAGTATCTGAATATGATCAGATACTTTCATTTCTGTCCGTAGTTTTATTGGACAATCATGATTGAATATAATGTCACCATGAAGAAGGGTAGCACGGAGTTCTGAGGGGCGCCTTGGTCAGAAGCTCTCCTATTGTGTGGAACAAATACTCTGTAGACTGCTTGAATATGTTGTTTTGTACAAAAGAAGCTCTAACGTTCTGCTACAACATAATTGTGCTTAGATTTAAACCCAGACACGCAGACTGCACTGCCCTACTTTCCTTCCTTTTCAGATTTGATTGAACCGGTTGTCTTGAGCACAAACGACCAGCCCACAGCAGATCTTCTGAGCCAAATTGATGCACTTGCTGCTCAGCTGACCTCTGAAGATCTTCATGGCTATTCAGGAAGCCAACTTTTTGAGATGCAAGAAAAACTTGTTGGCATGACAAACTGTATCATGAAAAACCTGCAGTCCCGCTGGAAATCGCCACCCCATGAAAGTTCTGATTAGTTGCTTATCATTTCTAAATAAGGAGGATTTTGTTACAACAATTTTCCCCAAAACCTGCTTTTCTTACTGGTGAATTATTCCTTAAACTGTGCATTTTGTACTATAGAAGATTTTTTTAACACCTATATGAGCAAAATGTATCGCAGTTGTGTTTTTTCTTGGGGTCTTTTAATTTGTGGGATTGCTTATTCCCTGTTAGAGGTATTTGTATTGTATTGCTATGCATATTTCCTTCAGGTAGTGAAAGGAAACTTGATAAAGTTGTGCAATAGCAAAGACTGTGAAACCAAACTAACAGAGTAGTTAAATTATTTTTTCAAATCCAAAGTGTTCTTACTGCTGCAAACCCTTATTATTTGGAAAGAGATCAGTCTCACAGCTCTGCTCATCTGCTGCCTGTTTGTTTCCTTTTAAGTTACCGAAACTCGGACAGACAGTGGCTCTCTCTTCAGCACCGTTTTATACTGAGATAAGTTGTGCTTAATTCCATACAGCAGCAACAGTCCAGGAACCCGGATTTGACAACTGGATGACATCTATTTTTGCATGTATTTTTGTAAGACTCACACTAAGAAGCTGGTAATGCAATGTGCCTTCACAGGCGAAAGGCTTTGCAAAACTTCTCAGGCTTTTTCCCGTGTTCTGTGTTTGCAGCAGTTCTCCTTCAGTGGAGAAGACTTTTTCCTTGGCAAAATGAATGGATTTGACAAGAGCTCTTTGTATATTATGTACAGACTCATGATGGCAAATGTTGGGTAATAATTTATGATCTTGAGTTTTAATTGCATGGAATGCATTGCTGCTTCTCGGAGACCTTCAGAGAGAGTTCTTGGGTTTTATACTCTGAAATCTAATTTGTATATATTGTACTGTAGCTATCGAAATGGACATTTATTGAAAGGAATTGCTGCAGGTGGTTTTAGAACTTACACATGGGCAAATAAAACAGCAGATCGTTCCCAAACTTGTTAATGTCATTGTGGTTTGGGGCTTTCTTGTGTTTTCTTCTTCAGATCTGTTCAGCCCTCCCTCAGCATTGCTTTGGATTCACGAGGTTGGGAGGGACCTTGGAAGGTCCTCGCTGCTGCCCTAAGGTAGGAGCAGGTGCTCAGGGACATGGTAGTATCTTGTCAGCAAGGCTCAGAATATTCTTTGTCCTGTTCAAGCATCTCATGAAGCAAACGAACAGGACAAAGAAGTGTCTTGGAGCTATAATGGGAACAGCGCCAGTGATGATGAGTTGTCTAGGTTTTCTTCCTTTCTTGAAAATATTACTTTGGTGTCAAATCTGCCTCCTGAGGTTTATTCATCTCTTGTATCCAGTGACCTGTACAGATACGGATGTTCCTAACACATCTCGAAAGGGTGTTGACATCTTTGTTTAACTAACCCTTCGGGGCTGGCAATCCTGAATCCTGCTCTGAGGAAGGACACTTCCCTTTCAAGCTGGTTGTGTACACCACGATGTGCTGTGAATTCCCTTTGACCAAAGGCCCTCAGAGTTAATGTTGCAACTCCTACTGTCAACTTGTTTTTAATCTTGTCTATATTGGACACAGTATACAGTGATTTCTTATTTCCTTCTTTCTTGGAGACTGGCTGGTACCAGATGTTTCAGTAGAGGAAGGAAATAACTGCTGTGCTCATGTATGAAATAATTTGTCCAGTTCATTCGCAGCCCCTCAGTTTGACTTCTGTTGTGGCTGTTACATCCTCCGTCACCACCCGGGTTGTCTCCCTTTCTCAATACAGTTTTCTGAACAAAGCCAGTTTGTTGCGAGATTGATTCCTGCTCTTCAGCATGAGTGAATACATCAAACATACTGCAGAAACGTTAGCTTTATTTAGTCACTAATTTACAAGTAATAACAGCTTTTGACCCCAGAACAGTTGCATGAAAAACACATGCATAAGAGCTTGGCAAGCAGGAGGAGAGGTGTTTGGGTTTGTTTCCCCCTCCCAGCTAAATGTTGGTTTGAGATACTAAGCTTAAATGTTGCTTATATGGAAAAGAAGTGAATACATTCAAACATTTTAGAATAGCCCAGAAAAATGCTGTCTTTGTGGGAGAATGAATAAAGTAATACGTGGTAGTCTTAGTCTTAAGTACACGTATAGAATTTCAGAGATACCAAACTGGATTGCAGTTCTAGCGTAGTTAAACCCTGCGGTGGTATGCAGTGTTGAAATGTTTGAAAGTCCAGGCAGTGTTTAAAACCTTTTTTTTTTTGACACTAGAAGAAATACAGTTTTCATAAGCACGTTTCATGTTTTGAAAGGATGTTTCATGAGTGTTTTGCTCTGCAGTTACTTTTCTTTTCTTTTTTTTTTTTTTCCACATCGTGGTTCATAAGGCACTATCACCATGGAAGACAATAAGGCACTTTGGAAAAAGTGTTACAAACCCTTTTCCAAGGCTTACACGTTGAGAAGCGCCAGCATGTCTGTGCCATGCAGATATGCTTTATGGAAAGACATGCTTTGGTTTAGACAGCTTCTACGTAGTTGGCTGGGAGCATGCCAGTCTTGCCGGTTCTCTGGACAGTCCCGTACATCCAGCCTTCATCAATTGCTTGTACGTTTACAATTGTGTCACCATCTTTGAAGGAAACCTCGTCAGCATCAGCTGCCATGTAGTCATACATGGCCCGGTAGGTCTTCTGTTAGTTTTAAGAAAGAGGGAGGGGCAAAAAAACAAGAGACACGTTTATAGCCCTGCTGTCAGCACCGACAGCCAGAGCTGTTGGTGACAATCAAAATGCAAGAGCTGGCTCAAGGCAAGTTATTTTTTGACTCATTTCGGTACTCTAAAAGTACTACTGATGGCAGTATCTGGCTGGTCTTTTAAATCTCCTGGTTTCAGATCATAAAATGTTTCTTGTCAATAACTAAGTACCTTGGTTACTATGTACCACAGGTTAGAGCCTGTGTGTTTTAGTGACACTGAAGCTGCACAAAATGTTTTCAGAGGATACTTGAGCAGTATCAGCTCTGTGTAGCTCCAGCTGTAACTTTAAGGTCTTGCCTCCCGGCAGATCTTGTGGGGAGATGATGCCATACCCATTGTCATATATCTACTCTTAGGACTCACTCTCAGGAGTAGGAAGAAGTATTAATTTAAAGTTTTTGAGAACAGGTGAGGGGCTATCCTGCTTCAGTGAACCTTGTTACATCTTCACCTGGTTTTGTACCAAGCTTCAGCCCAGTGGGTAGGCACACTACCAACCCAATCCTGGCTTGACATCAGCTGAAGCATGGTGGAGCACACACCATCAGCTACCAGGGACCTCCAGGGCTGTGCACCTTTGGTAGGTAGATTAACTCCTGCAGCAAGACTGGGATTGTGTGTCTTAATACAACTGATCAATGTTACTTACGCCAGCAGTAGATGGGTGAGAAGGAACCGATGATACCGTTGTTTGCTGGGTGGCAACTGACGATGAGCGTTGTTGTGGTAACTCTATAGTTTTAGCATGCTTGTAGCCCACTACAAAAGGAAAATATGTTTTGTGTTGTTTATTACAGAATTGGTGATAGGGTTAAGAGTGAGTTGCTCTGAATAAATATTGTGGGACGGGTCCTTAGGTGGGTCAAAACTGCCTTTTACCCACTGAAATACAACTTTACAGCTGATGGTTATGTCCACAACTCAGCATTTTGCAGGTGTACTTCTGTGCTTTTTCCTGGCAAAAGGCATCACTGAACGTGAGCCCGTGACCAGTACTGCCCTGCCAGATGGTCCAGATACCATTTGTCCTCATATGTGGATAAATGGCATGGTGGTTCTCCTCATACCTGTTGCAGTTGTGGTGAAGAAGCCCGCGTTGCTGTAGTAGGATAAATGTTGATCTACGCCGTCTGAGGGCTCGGATTTTTCATCGCCACCACTGAGGCTCAAGGCACTGGCAGAGCGGGAGTGCTCCCGGCTACGGCGCTGGGCTTGGACTGCAAGGAGAAAGCAGTGGGAACCAGTTCATGTCTTTATTTTGTAAGGAGATGCACACATAGGAGATACATGTGTATATCCATATGGATATACACACATATATAGGTTACTTTTTTATATATATACACACACACACATATATGTATCTATGTGTGTACATACTCTGTAAAAATACCCAAAGCTCTCTACCATTGCTACCAAACCTGGAGCCGTTATGCTTATACCGAATAGAAAACTGACATAGGCCACATGCGTGCTAAGCAGAATTGGTTACTGTATTTTACAAAATTAATGGAAAAAAGCGTATGAATTAATCAGAGTCTGTTTTTATGGTTACTCAATGGTATTTGCCAGGGCTTTTAAAAAGCATTCTATGGACACCACGCTGAAGTTCTACTCAAAAAGGCACAGTTGTTAGATCCCTGTTATTTTTAACACAGTGTCTGAAGTCAGCACGTAAAGCTACACTTGCATAGGTAGAGCGCTAAGCTAAGCTAAGCTGTACTTTAGTATCCCCAAGCTGTCAGTTTTACTGATTGAATTTGCACAAGCATAAAACCTATTTTGCACAAATAGTACAGCCTATGGAACAAACCAGAGATCATATGTAAGCTTCGGGACTGAATATTGTCTTCTGCTGGGTCGTAGTCAAAGACTGACCCGGGATTAGTGCGCCACACACGAAGACCTGTAAGAGAAAGCATTTTCTGAGGAGAAGCTGTAGCTCAAGCAACTTTCAGAAAGCTTGAGCAGCACACATCTGCCCTCAATAGAAGGGTAAGCAGTATTTAATGAATTTGTATTTCTCAAATCTATAGCACAGATTAGGCTTTTTTTTTTTTATTTCATCTACATCAAGTGAGCTAAAGTATTTCTCTAATATGCACAGAGGTGAAGTTAAAAATATAAGTAAGAAATCAAAATCTAGCATTGCGTTACAAAGTTGAGCAGGATGGGAGAGGCAGAGCACAAATGGTTTACAGCTGCTCTAAGAGAATATTTTCAAAATGGGCTCTGATAAACACGTCATCTCCAAGTCACAATAAATTTGAATTGCTGTGGCTGAGCTTACGTAAAACAATTCATCAAGGTCAGCTTGTGTTTTGTGTAAGTGAAGTACTCAAGTCATTCTAAAACCTAGGTTCTGCTTACCTGTGAGATTCTCTTGATCCTGGTCCACGCGCTTTCGCTCCATTTCTACTACTCGCCTTTGAATGCCCCTGTAGCTAATGTCACTGAAGTCCTGCATGTTCTTTTTCACACGTTCTGTAATGGGGTCGGTAACTACAGGTGTGAAACTACCTTTGCTCTTCTCAAAATCTTCATGATATTTCACCTGCAATTTAAAACGAAATGTCTGTTCTCTGTAGCTTAGATGAGTAATTTTTACCCCTGCTTACCTCAGGTGAATTTCTAGTAGAGAGGTGCACTGCTGTTCTGAACTTTAGCTTTCTCGAATCCAAGGAACAATGAGAGAGAGCCTAATCCCAAACATGCCTCTCCTGCAGTCACTCTTGCCTTTAGCATTTAAGAATTTGGTTAACAAAACTTGGTATACGTACATTGTCCTTGAGCTGCCAATCCCAGAACGTCTCAGGAAAAAGGTTTTTATTTAAATCACTTGCCAAGCTAAAAATACATCTATAAATGCTCTTACTGTAGAGATATGTTTCTGGGTCTCTCGTACACGCCGCATTTCAGGTGTATCCAGTACATACGCAGCTTTGCCTTGTACTTGTTTTCGGAAACTATCCGAATAAAGAACCTGCCAGATGAGAAAAAGGAAGTGAGCACAGGGCACAGAACTATTTCTGCATCATGAGGAATGAGCTGCATTGAAGCAACCTGGCAAAGAAGTAAAAACAAAAAAAAAAGCAGCAACTGTGTTGGTGAATAACATTAGAATGCAAAGCAAAATTCTTTTTCATAATTCTATGAGACATGGACAGCTCTGGACTGGATCCCAAACATCCTTTTTCTTAACTACAAGATCCTTACCTTTCTTAACCTTGTAACAACAGGTAGAGGTAATGTAGTAATAATGTTCCAGGTAATATCTTCCTATGTTTGACTTGCACCTCACTGACTTTAGTGAAGTTATCAGTGTGAAACAGATGACATAATTAGATCTGTATCATTGAAACAGTACAATTTTTGCTGGGTTTGTAGCGTTTCTTTTTTGAGTGATAGCAGTTGCATCGCGCTTCCGTAAACATTTGTTTGCAGATCCTGTATTACTGGATTTGTCGAGCAAGCCATGACAACATTCCAGGTCAGGCTGGACGGGGCTCTGAGCAACCTGCTCTAGCTGAAGATGTCCCTGCCCACGGCAGGGGGGTTGGACTAGATGGCCTTTAGAGGTCCCTTCCAACCCAAACTATTCTGTGATTTGATGATCTGTTCTGTATATAGACATTTACAGGATGGGGTATGACAGGATTTACCTCTGGAGTAACAGGTTAGCAAAAAGGGGCCTAAAGAAGACGACCATTTCCAGATTTGTCATGTTTTTATACAGAATGTCAGAAATCTAACATAAAACACACTGTTACTGAAGTCATACAGTAGAAGACCAGTAAAAACAAGATATTTGCAAGAGACTTGAAGGCAACATATGTTATCTGAAATTTAACTGTTGTTTAAAAAAAACAAACCAAACTAAAGCAGTTAATCACACAGAAAGAAATAGTTGCAGCAGAAAATAAAAAGCATGTATTAAAGGATTTGATTTTAGTATGGTTACTTAATACTTCCAAACTAGATAGCTAGGTAGTTATGTTAACATCTGCACTGTTAATTTCAGTAAGGATTTCAGGGATTGAAGTGTTACTTTTTAATGTATTATCATTTATTGGCTGAATGAATAGAACATACTGAGCTGATGTTTTCTTGATTGCGTTTAGCTCTCTCCATCTCTGGAGTCATTGGTGTTGGAGTTCCTTTTGCCAGGTGTTCCTTGTACAAAACCTACGGTGTAGGAAAAGGTGTCCACAAATCAGACTGGAATAATTCATAGCTCATTCTGTAAATGGTGTTATTGTTTAAGCATACTCATCACTGCAGGGGTAGAAAAGATCTCAGGAAATAAAGCGTCTAAAAAGTTATTTGCTAGAGCAAAAGGTAAAAATCAAAGGGAAAAATAGGCAAAAATAAGGAAAACTGAGAAAATAAGGCTAAATTAGAAGTGGAGTTTTTGTTCAGAATGGTTATTTTTAATACAAGGTGGTTGTCTTTCTTCTTTCAGTACCGAGCTAATGTGTTCTTGATTGCGTTTGACTCTCTCCATCTCTGGAGTGACCGGTGTGGGGGTTGCCTTCCCTAAGCCTTCTTTGTATACAACCTACAGATCACAAAGTAATTCAAAGTCACAAATGTACAAATTAAAACCCGTAATGTTACTGGTTTTAGAGTAAACACCATCCATTATGAAAGAAAAAAAAGGTTGAAGGAAAAATAGTATTAAAAAGTTAATTGACAAAAAAAATCTTTTAGGTACTATAATTTTAAAGACATGACTTTCTAAGTTTGAGGGGAAAAAATTAGAGGGTTAAATAAAACCAGGCAGACTTAAGTTATTAATAAAAAGTGCTCTATCATATCCGCTTTATTTCTTCCAGACAATACCGAGCTAATGTGTTCTTGATTGCGTCTGACTCTCTCCATCTCTGGAGTGATAGGTGTGGGGGTCGCTCGCCCCAAGTTTTCTTTGTACAACACCTGTGGGATACAGAAGATGTATCCGGTATCTTAAACCCCCCCCAAAATCAAAAGGATTTGAACACAAATGATTACTTTGTTATCAAATTTCAAAAAAGTTGTGACTGATTATGATATGCAGCACTGCACAAAAGCCAAACATCTACTGCTGTAAGGAAGGTTAAGAAAAATAAACTGTAAAAGAAAAGCTTGTTATTTTTCTGGTTAACAAATAAGGACTCTATCCAGCTTACAGCTATGACGATGGCTCCATAGGCTTGGGGAAGCTGCCTTTCGCCCTAGAGAACTATTTAAGAAATGTTTTATCTGCTGTTTTAATCTACATTTGAAGCAATTTCTGACCTTTTGGGGAGGGAGGAGAGAGTTTTGTTGCCACACGGACATTGGGCAGCCAAATAAAGAAGGGTGTCAAGGATGGGTGTCTGGTATCACTGCACCATTACACCTACACATCTCCCCAGTCCGTGAGGCCACCTATCGCTGATACGCCGTCCAGAACAGGAACAGCCTCGTTCCTTTTGTGTTATTCTGTTTAAGGCATCCCAAGTCACCTGTCACAGCAATATAATCTCACATGGGTCAGAGAGGTGGGATTTTTCAGGGTGGGGCGGCTAGGTTTCTTGATTGTTTGGTTTTCACTAAAGTCAAATACCCCTGAAAAGCCAATGAAAGCTTAAACACTAAGCAGAGAGACAGAGAAGCCTGAATATCTTCACCAAAGGATGCTAAGCTCTTATTATTGTCTGGATAGAGTCCACAGGTACACAAAACGAGTTGTAGAAAAGGCCTAAGTTTCTGGATCAGACTGTTAACACTAAAGTAATTTTATTTTAGAAGAGGAGTGATTAATTTGCAGAAACAAATATATCTTTTTTTTTAAATTAAAATCAACTTTCAGTAGGTAGTTAGAATGTTACTTTATTAAGGTATAAGCACAAAGGAAAAGAAGAAATATATCTATTTTAAGGTACCGAGCTAATGATTTCTTGATTGCGTTTGACTCTCTCCATCTCTGGAGTGATTGGTGTTGGGGTCACTTTCCCCACATTTTCTTTGTACAAAACCTACAGGATACAAGGGAGTATCCAAATGTCATTAAAAAGGCACCACCACCACCACCACCACAAAAACCCATGACAACATACAATATAGCTTTTGAATCATTACACTTAGAAAGGGTTAGATTTGGGGCACAATGCTGTTCCCAAAAGAAACAACGGGAGCTTTGCCATTAATCTACTAGGATGCAGAAATGGACCCTGTATGGAATCAACTCTGCATAAAAGCACACTTGTAGTAAGAAAGGGTTAAAAAGAAATTGCAGAGAAACAATATCCATCCGAAAAAAGGTCAAACCTAGTTCTAGTAAAATCCTGCTTCAAACAGTGTTAAATAGAAGGTATTACGATTTGCTTGTAAGCACAGAAGGTAGGAGGTTTATGCTATGTGGCAGATTCATTTTCTAAAGTTAGAAAGCACAGATTACTAAACTGCTACAGTTATGTTATGTATGTTAAACACTTCATTCAGATCTTTAGGAACTGGTTTCCTGTTAAAAATACCGAGCTAATGATTTCTTGATTGCGTTTGACTCTTTCCATCTCAGGAGTGACAGGTGTTGGGGTTGCTTTCCCTATGTTTTCTTTATACAACACCTATGAGACATAAGAAAGGAGCCAAAGAAAGCAACAATAAATAAAAAGCTATCCACAGACAAACTTAAAGCCTAAGGCATTTTTTTTCTTTTAGTTATTTTCTCAGGGCCTATGTAGTATACATTTTTAAAGAAGGTACTTAGCAATATTTTACTAGAGAGTAGGGTTTGGCATATTGGCTTTTTAACTACAGGATCACTTGTAATAAATAGTGTAAGTAAGTACTACATAAATGAGACCACAAAAATACCATATTGAGGGGCTGAGGATGTTATGAACGTGTAAATTATAATTTAAAAAAAAAAAGCATTGCAGAGAAAACAAGTGAAGTTTGTTAAGTGTTTTTAGGAGTAGAATAGGGCATTAATATCACTCAAGAAACAATAAAAACTGTAACAAGTTAAAGTCACCACTGTAAACTACAGTAAGACATGAGTAAGAAGTAATCACTGATGTAAGCTGCTTTAGAGCTAGGGTCAGCATTATTTTGGAACAAGTGTTACAATGTCCATTTATTAAAACTGTTAAAATGTTCTTTTAAAGAGAGTTAAAGGGAACTTTTTTCTTAGCAAAGTACCGAGCTACAGATTTCTTGATTGCGTTTGACCCTCTCCATCTCTGGAGTGATAGGAGTGGGGGTTCCAGTCCCCACGCTCTCTTTGTACAACACCTGTGTAGTAACAAGAAGCATCCAAAAACATAATCACAACTCAATAATAATTACATCCAACATGAAGTCAAATATTTAAGTCTGCTGGAGCTCAGTCTGCTCTCATGTGCCCTAAAAGCTACCCCTGGAAGCAATGAAGACTGGATTGCACCCGTGAGGGTCTGAAGGCAAAGAGGTCTATGGTTTTATCTTAGCTGGTGCAACAAATCCAACACAGAAGCCTCTTACGTCAAATACATTTTGACGGTGGAGGAGAGCTTTTAGACTACCACTGAAGCCTGCTAGAAAGTCAGACCCTCCCTCTTCTGTGATAACAGCATTAAAACAGGAAACTGATAGGATTTAAAAAAAAAAAAACATATAGAAAAAGGAAGTTGGAACAGGGAGCAAAATGGTTAAAAAAATATTTAGGATAATGTAAATAATTACATATGTGAAGAAGTGGTAGGTCAGTAACATGGGAAAATATAGTACAGTGAAGAAGAAAGGATGTTTTTATAAGTTGATTACATGGAAGTAAGGAGTGGAATTGTTCATTTTTAATACAGGTTAAAAAGTTCTGTTTAAGTGGAGTTAAAGGGAATACTTCTTTTCCTCCACAAAATACCGAGCTAATGTGTTCTTGATTGCGTTTGACTCTCTCAACCTCAGGAGTGACAGGTGTGGGGGTTCCTGTCCCCAGATCCTCTTTGTACAACACCTGTGGGGTAACATGGCTATATTAAAAAAAGAAAAAAGGAACAAGCAAACAACAGTAACGCACAGCTTGCTGAGAGAACAGCCTGAATATTTTTCAAAGTCACTCCGAGCCAAAGCTTGGAATAAAACAGATAAATTAAAATGCTCCTCAAAGCTATACAGCTAAACACTAATACCTTCTCTATTCGCTTCTCAGGAGCTATACAGAAGAACTGTCTGTGCAACAGTAAACCGTTAAAGACTTCCTAAAGGCAGAAAGTATCAAATACAACACAAAAGGAACAAAGAAATCAAGTCTGTTTCATTTACCCATTCCATAAACATCACAGCAGATTACACTGGCATGTATTAGAGCACTGTTATTCTGAGGTCATAGCCACAGATTTGTATCAGGTGCTGAATAGTTTAGTTCTCATATATAAAGTAAGTAAAATCAGAAAAAAAAACCCAAACCACCACACAAAACAAAACTAAGGATTGTTGTGACTAAGAAAAGGAAAACGGTGTTTTTTAAGAGAAAAAAAAAAAAGATAATCAGACTCAAAAGAAAGGTGGAATTAAAAGTTATTATTAAGATGACATAATAAAAAAAGAGGAACAAGAACGATGTAAGTAACAATTATGGAAGAAAAAATCTCAAAGGGAACAGGGTATTATTTTTTGTGTAAGTTGATTATAGGGGAACAAGAATGGCTTTTTATGTGTTAAAAGTATTTTAAAATAGATTAAAAGTGAAATTTTTGCTTTTCAAATTCAAAAATACCGAGCTAAAGTTTTCTTGATTGCGTTTAACTCTTTCAATCTCAGGAGTGACAGGTGTTGGGGTTCCTGTCCCCAGATCCTCTTTGTACAACACCTGTGGGGTAACATGGCTATATTAAAAAAAGAAAAAGGAACAAGCAAACAACAGTAACGCACAGCTTGCTGAGAGAACACGCAGAACATGAGAGGTGGTTTTCTGAGATGCCCTGAATAAACATAGGGATTAAAAAATCCATAAAAAGAAAAAACTAGTTTAAAACTCTGAAGGTGACAGAGTTAAACACTAATGCACCGGTATGACTTCTACCAGAATGCTAGAATACCTTCCTGACTTGCTTAAGTGCTTCTCAAGGTGGACGTTTAAAGCTGGTGAGTATTTAGAAGATTAAAGTCTTATATAAATTATAATGAAGTATATTACTGGCTTTTCACCAGCAGTGAGGTAAACTTCTTCCTGACCATAATTGAGTCATTGGAGGACCAGGTCCTAATGCACCTTCCTAAAAGTTTTTCTGTATACACACACCTCAACGTGTGTATACAGCGTTGTGTGTCATCCATTCCCTGAGTGAAACGCTACTTGTTGTCCAGAGTTTATCATCAAAGAATCTAGCTTGCTTATTACAGGAAGGACACAGAGACGTGGTCATAATAAAGGCGTATGTGTGAAAATAGTACCTGAGAAATTATAATTACTAGTGCTCTCCTATCTTACATGACACTTTCCTCACCCCAAGAAACATCCTAATGCTACTACTTTTTTTACCCTGCAAACCTGTGCTACCACCATATCTAGAGCAGTTTACACCAGCTGGAGATTTGGGCCACCGTCTCTGTGCAACAGTATTAAAGACTCCCTAAAGGAAGAAGGCATCAGATACAACGCAGAAGGAACAAAGAAATCAATCCTGTTTCATTTACCCATTCCATAAACATCACAGCAGGTTACACTGGCATGTATCAGAGCACTGTTATTCTGAGCTCATTTTCACAGATTTGTATCAGGCAATAAATAGTTTAGTTTTTATATGCGGTAAAACCAGGAAAAAAAACCAACAACCAAGGACTGAAGTGATTAACAAAAGGAAAGCAGATATTAAAGAAAAGAATATGTTCAGAGTCAAAAGAAAGATGGGAACACAGAATCTAAAAGTTATCATTAGTAAGATGATCTAATCAAAACAAAGTAAGTAACAATTATGGAGGAAAAAATGTCAAAACATGGGGAACAGGATATTCTTTCTTGTGTAAATTGATTACAGGGAAATACAAGAGTATTTTTTTGGTGTTAAAATTATTGTAAAATAGATTAAAAGGGAAATTGCTGCTTTTCAAATTAAAAAAAAATACCGAGCTAAAGTTTTCTTGATTGCGTTTGACTCTTTCAATCTCAGGAGTGACAGGTGTTGGGGTTCCTGTCCCCAGATCCTCTTTGTATAACACCTATATAGTAACACGGGAGTTTAAAAAAGTTAAGAACAAAAAAAATTACTGCATTTGATGGAGGTAACACATGTAATTTTTATGCCAACTAAATATACTAGAAAGCAGGAAAAGTTAGGAAGTATGAAACAGTTAACAACTGTGATAAAATCAGAGGAAGTCTTCTGATAGCTAGAAATACTGCATCCTAAATTCTTAGATATGCTTCAACAGAATAATAAAGCATTAGAGGAATGGAATCAAGCAAATAAAAAACCCAGTGTTTTTTAAAAATGCAAAATACATTAAGCTTCACAAAAAAAGCTTTAAAAATTAAAGGACATGAAGGGTCAAGTGTTATGATTATAAGAAAAATCTTTTAAAAAAGAAGTACATAAAATATAACTAACAATTACTAAAAAATTTAATAGCAGAAAGGGGATGTTTCTATGTTTATAAGTTAGAGAGAGTAGAAAATTTACAGGTGTTAAATAGTTATAGGAAACTTTTTTTCTTAAATGACAAAAAAGTACCGAGCTAAAATTTTCTTGATTGCGTTTGACCCTCTCCATCTCAGGAGTTACAGGTACTGGGGTTCCAATCCCCAGCCCCTCTTTGTACAACACCTGTGTGGCAACAGGGAAGTATTAAAAAAAAAAAAACAGGAAAGGAAAGGAAAGAGGAGGACAGGGAGGAGAGAGAGAAAAGACAAGTAATTTAATATAGTGAAACTTCAAAGTATGAAAAAGAGAGCTTTGTCAGCCTTGTTTGAAGGCTAGCAAAAAAAGACAATGAAAATAATCAGCTAATCTTACTACGAGGTTTGTTGTCATCTCACCTGGGTGCATATAAATAATGCCAGCAAGAACTGCAGGAGCGTTTTGTGCAAAGCATAGCTCGAGCCATGTTACCTGAAAACTCTTTGCATTTATGTCTTTTTGCCCAAAGGAATTTCCTTACTCAAACAAAAGATCTTGAATGAGCAGCTTTGCCTCTCAGATTTCTAAATCTTTCACCAGCGTAAAAGAGAGCCACGATGACCCCAGAGACAATTAAATGTAGCGAAAATTTTAAGAACAGTGGCTTCTCTGAACTCTCCTATTAATATCAAGTCAGGACTGAATTTCGTATCAGTCATGTCTGAATTGGGTCAGAGTGAGTCAAAATTAGTCCTAAGCTGCTCTAATTAAAACAGAAATATAGAACAAAATTATGACGTAATGGTCATTTGACTGGAATGTGTTCGGAGTAGAAACAATCTGGATAGAAATTCATTACTACAGTAATTTTTCCTTATACACGCAATTTTCGTCATTTTTTCATATTGCAGTGATATGAGGATGCCACCCAGGTTTTCTTACAAAGACCTGTAGGATATAAGAAAGCATCCAACACAGCAAAAACAGGAAAAGAGACAACACACGCTAGTTGCATTAGGTTGCTTTGCTTCAGGAAGTGTTAAGAGCTCATTTTTCATTTGCAGTGCAACCAGTGTGGTGAGTCTGAAGACTGTTAGGAGGATTGACTTTGTTATTGAGGAGGAGAGCGACATCACTCAGACTACTACTATTTCGTTGGGAAGAAAAATAAGGTACTGCTTAACTGCTTTGAGTAAATGAGGTTAAAATCTCACAGCTGGAACAATTTAATGACAATTAAGTTAGACTGAGTGAAAAAGCAAGAAAATATAAGGTACTGACAGGGTTTTAGTGATTTGATTAAGAAAGGGTTGTTCAAAGTACAACAAAGAACTGAAAGAAAAATTTAATATGGAGGAGTTAAAGGGATTTGATTTGCATTTGTTTTATTTAGCAATACCGAGCTAATGTTCTCTTGATTGCGTTTGACTCTCTCCATCTCTGGAGTAACCGGAGTGGGGATGCCAGTCCCTAAGCCCTCTTTGTATAACACCTGTGAGGTACAAGAAAGTTTCCACAAAAAAAGCACTCAACACAGGCAAAATCATTAAATCTGACTATTTTGTGAATTACGTTTAGCATTAGGATCACTTTTTAATTAATTTCACACTTGTTCTAGAGGCAAATATTAAGGAAGGGGCTGATGGTTGATTATTCTGTAAATACATAACTACAGATACTAGAAGATAAAGGGTTAAGAAAAAACAAACATGGAGAGAAACACCATGTTAATGTCACAGCTTACTTCCAGTTTTGGTTCTTAAAAGAAATGCGTGTAAAGTTGTAAATCACCAAAAAAGGTTAAAGCACAAACAGGTGGAATATAAATGAGTTAAGAATATTGCCAGGGAAAAGACAGGAGCAGGGTGAGATTCTAAACCATTGAAGAAAAACAGATTATATGTTAGGATGTTATGCAAAAATAAGTTGTTTTATATATATACATATATTTTTAAATACCGAGCTAATGTGTTCTTGATTGCGTTTGACTCTCTCTATTTCTGGAGTGACAGGTGTTGGGATACCTGTCCCTAGGTCCTCTTTGTACAATACCTGCAGAACACAAGCACCCAGCAAGGTGAGAATATCATATTCCTTCCACAACTACAGTACATTTGGATAGATAATTTACCTCGTTCATAAGTAAATATAATCTGGGATTATATGTAAATGTGTGCACAATTTATTTTACTCAGTGTGCATCTTTTTAAGTACAGTCACCAGCTCAGCAAAGTACTTAATGTCTACGTTGAGGTGCTTGAACACATTGAAGTCAGTGGAATACTTCATTATAGTAGGTCACAAGTTTAAATGTTCCGCTGACCTGGCACGAAAGGTAGGCATGTTCTGCTTTTCATCTTAGTTTAGGAAATGTAATAGTATTACTTTTCAGGCAGTCAGCATTTCTGGAGGGTTTTTGTTTTGTTTTGTTTTTTTTATGGTGTTAACAAACAGCTGAACCTTTTATAGACATGTTTAATATGAAAATACTTAGTTGCGGGCTCCATTTCATTTTGATCCCTGTGACTATTTGTTCGGAACACCACTATTTTACTTTGCTTTAAGTCTCTAGCAAGAAAAACAATTGAGTTTTAGCTCTTGTATTATTAGATTTAACTTAACCAGCAATTGTTTCATTTAAAAAATTGCATTTTTTATGAAAGAAGTTGCATAGGAGATGCCTGGGTTGGTTTAAAACATAATCATGTAGAAATACATTACAAATGCACTAATGGTTCTTCTGGCAACTAGTAAAATGCTTGCAACAAAAAGAGCTAACGAAAAAAAAATCACTGCTTGATGTCATTGAAACAATGAAAAAATACAAAAATAAAATGCTCACAGCAAGGGAAAACAAATTATGTAAAAGAAAAAATGAAGAATCATTTGAAGAAACAACTCCATTGTGCAAAAGTGAGCTGTAAAAAACATCAGTATCATAAACAGCTCAAAAGGGAAACTGTACTTATAAAACCAGGAATGGAAGATCGTAAGATACTCATTATATGGGTGTCACTGCTCCTCAGCATTGTATAGCAAACATCTGAGGTACCAATAATCACAAGACTGTATCCTGCCTCAATTGTGTATGCAGAGATCAAAGTAAAGCAGTAGTGGCTCAAAATCAGGAGAGCATGTTGTGGTTATTAAAATCTATACTTAATTAGATACGGGAAGAGCGAGGTACTGTTCCCACTTATAATTGTCACTAGGTTTTGTGACTACAAAAAAGGCTCCAATTATTTTTTTCCCACAAAGTTCTCTCTAGCTGATCCATTTTTCCCAGACTAATTGTAAGACACCATCTGAGTATTTTTTGTTTCTAGTTCTGTGTTTAGAAAAGATCACAGAAGTAATACAGGGAAGTGGCTGACTGTAATGATCACTGCAAAATTCAGATATTTGAACTTCCTGCTGCTGAATATAGGGATTTAAGAGATCTGTTCTCTTTTCAACAAAAAATACCCACAAACGCTACCAAAGTTTGGAGCTTGAGCTCTGCATGAGTATATAGGTAAGTAGAAAATATCGGCCATTACCGAACTGATGTGCTTCTGTGTCTCCTTGACACGTTTCACTTCTGGGAGATCAGGAATTGGAGTTCCTTTTCCAATATTCTCCTTGTATTTAATCTACAAAGATGCAGACATCAGAAAGAAGTAAAAGGACTTACGTTAAAGCACAGCTGATGCACGTATGTGTAAGAAGTTACATGAGTAAAGAAACACAGGTCCTTTACACTTTACAAACTCATTCAGGTCTCAGGTACAAAATGTATTCTGATAGAGGAGGAAATCATCAAGAAGCCTTCTATTTTAGTTATCTGATAGCTAACTCTGCCACACTTCTACAAAGCAGTTTAACAATAACTCAGCTCAGGGTGAAAAAGCAGAGTCTTGTTTGAGCCAGATTTTTTCAACTGAAACTTAAAATTTGGGTATCTAACATCTCCCAGGAGCTTAATTTCAGCAAGAACAAACACCCTGATTTATAACAACTGCACCATTTCAAGGTTTCTTACACTGTGTTCCAAAAAATTGTGATATTAAAAATTTTAAATGATTTCTAAAAATTTTAGCCTAATATGAAATAGGCACCTAGAGTCATATGTGGATACATAAAGAGCATTATCCTGATCTCGAGGAGACTGAAAGTTTAAAAGATCTCATTGGCTTTAACATGAGCAGAGTTGCTGTTAAAGTATTCCCATCATCTTTACAAGCAACCTCTTAGAAGGTGACTTTAGCTGTTGATGAGATGTCACTGTGAATGGCACTTTACTAAAAGGGTTTTCTAAAAACAAGTGTAAATACCTTTGAACCTGATACCGTTTGGTCTTTCTACCAATGAAAGAATTTTTGATTTGTAAAAATCTGTCGTATCCAAAGGTGAGAGTCATCATACAACATTTTAACAATTACAGTGCTATTTGCATTTCTACTTTAGCATAACAGAAAAAAAGAATAGCATTTCACAAGAACATATTTAACATACTATGCATGAAACAAATTGGCTGAAATGTTAGTATCTTTTATACTGAAATGATGTCAGCATTCAAAAAAAGCATGAAAAAAGATTTACAGGTTTCGAAAGAAAAGTAAGACATACAATTATTCCAATTTTAGAGTGTTACAATTTTTTATATAATATAAAAGCTTTACGAGACATGCTTTTGTAAGGCTTTTGACACCGTTTGCCCTGGCATCCTCACAGACAAGCTACCAAAGTTTGGGTTAGGTAAGTGCACAGTGACATGGACTGAAAACTGGCTAAACGGCCGGGCCCAGAGCATTTGATCAGTGGCACAAGGGCCAGCTGGAGGCAAGTCAGCAGTGGTGTACCCCAGGGGTCAAAACTGGGGCCAATATTGTTTAACATCCTCACTAGTGACCTGGATGCCACGACAGAGTGCACCCACAGCAAGTTTGCAGAGAACACAGAACTGGGAGGACTGGCTGATAGACCCAAGGGTTGTGCTGCCACCCAGAGGGACCTCGACAGGCTGGAGAAATGGGCTGAGAGGTATCTCCTGAAAGTCCTGCACCTGGGGAGGAATAACCTCAGGCACCAGTACATGCTGGGGGCTGACTGTCTGGGAAACAGCTTTGCAGAGAAGGACCTTGGGGACCTGGTGGACAACAAGCTGACCGTGAGCCAGCAATGCACCCTTATGACAAAGAAGGGCAACGACATCCTCGGCTGCATTAAGGGCGCTGCCAGCAGGTCAAGGAAGGTCATCCTTCCCCTCTACTCAGCACTGGTGAGGCCACATCTGGAGTTCTGTGTACAGTGCTGGGCTCACCAGTACAAGAAAGATATGGACTTACTGGAGCAAGTCCAGTGCAGGGCCATAAAGATGAGTAAGAGACAGGAGCATCTTTGATATGAGAAGAGGCTTAGAGAGCTGGGACTCTTCAGCCTGGAGAAGAGTAGGCTCAAGGGGGAACTTATCAATGTGTATAAATACCCAGTGAGAAGGAATGAAGAGGAGGGAGCTACTCTTCCCAGTAGTGCTCAGTGACTGGACAAGAGGTCATGGCCACAGATTAAAAAACCAGAAAATTCAATCTGAACACAGGAAAACAGTTTTTTTACTGTGAGGGTGGTCAGACACTGGAACAGGTTGCCCAGGGAGTCTACACAATATCCTTTGAGATATTCAAAACTCAACTGGACATGGTCCTAGGCAAGCTGCTCTAGCTGATCCTGCTTGAGCAATGGGGTTGGAGTAGATGATCTCAAGAGAACCCTTTCAACCTAAATGACCCTGATTCTGTGCTAAATAAACTGTGTTTGCGATGAGATTAAAAATGATGGCAAGAGCTTTCATGTTCTAGAAATGGATTGTAAGTAATAAATTGAAATGTTAATCATTAGAAAGATTACTGTTTAAGTAACAAGAACAGGCAAAAACATTTAGAAAGTAACCCTTAGCTGGATGGATTATTGACAAGCCACTGTTAGCAACATTTAAGGAAATAAGAAGGGGAAAAAAAATATTATTTCAAGTTGAATTAGCACTGGTAGAGTATTAAAAATCAATTCTTTTGTACCGAGCTAATTGCATCCTGGGTTTGTTTAACTCTCTGCATCTCTGGTGTCTTTTCAATAGTAGTTCCAGTTCCAACATCTTCTTTATATAAAATCTTAACGTTTAGAATGAAGACAACAAGGTTAAGCATACAAAACACAACATTATTTCTTCTAGAGAGTGAATACAGGCTCATGACAGTGGTTTGTACACAGCACTGCAGGCCGAAAGCCAACTTGGAGGATTATCTTCGGTCACTGCCTTATTGCCTATCTGCAGTCTGTCCTACTACACGAGTGCCATTCATGCAAAAAAGGGGCAGATCATTTGTATATGTAGTCAAGCATTTTAAGTAGAATGTCAAAACGTTTGTAGGCTAATTTTAGGATTGAAGACTAGTATTTGTTCTAATTTGTTCCCTTTGTTCTAATTTGTTTTATTATGTTTTACACAAATGACTTCCACTTAGTTACTTACTATGCTAATGGTGCTAGTGGCAAAATGATACAGCAGACTTTAGGCACTTCATGGTACTACATGAAATGTGAAACAAATCAGGCAGACAGTTCACTTTTCACTGCAAGAAGACAGTTGCAACACAACAAGAATACACTGCTTACATGGTAACAGGACAAAAGAAAGGTAGATACTAGTAATACCAATTTAAGTACAGGATTGACTGTTTAACTATATCACAGCTATGTACAAGTGAAAGTGTGCAATCAGGGCGCTCCACAAAAAAACAGTAGATCAAAAGGGGTAGCAAAAACCAGCTAAATCTGCTTAGAATAAAATTAGTTTTGTTTGAAAAAGTTCTTATACACATTTAAGCAGATCAAGAACATAAGTACCTGTAAGATAAGAACTAAAAATAGTTATTTCATTAAACATAGTACACTGTATTTTTTGGAATGGGAACTGAAAACAGAAAATAACTATACCGAGCTGAAATTCTTCTGGTTTTCTTTCACACGCAGCATTTCTGGTGTGTCTTGTACAACGGTAACTTTTCCTTTACTGTTCTGTAGGTCCCACTGATACTGAAGCTGTTGAAAAAGTTAAAGTAAAATGTCAAATGTTGACTCTATGCCATAAAAATTTACGCACAGAGTTTTGTTTGAAGATGAGGAAAAAAAAATATTTTCAAGTACACCTTATAAGGAGGTCATTTTAACACCAGCATTAGTGATATAAAGATGTACCACAGTTACAAGTATTCTCATTTAAATTAGCAGTAGGAGATCCTTAACTAGATTCACTGAAAAATCTTGAAAGGTGCCAGACTGTATCTAAAACAATTAAGCCTCAACAATGAAGGTTAAAGATTTTAAGTCAGATTGTGGAGTTCTGTTACTGACCACACAGTCTTGCAGGTAGTCCCACTGACAACAGGCAACTTCTGTAAGTATAATTCTCTATTACTTGCAAAGGAATTGTCAAAGCACTGCAGCAGAAAGTTTTTTTCAAGAAAATTGCAGAATCATTTTGGTTTCCTGTGTAACGCATAAGTGGGCTGCTGCATACATAGTGGACCCTCTAACTGAAGATCCCTGAGAACATAAAGGCAGCCTAGCTGGGATTAGAGTGTGACATCGGGACCTTATTAAAGGAAAAAAAGCTGAACATTTTTTATTAGTTGACAGTAACAGTAATTATTATTTATATACATACTGTGCTAAAGTTCTTTTGATTCTCACGGACTCTCTGCATTTCTGGTGTGTCTGCTACAGGCACATAGTATGGCATGGTCCTTTCTGCATCTTCTTTATACTTTTTCTGATAGAAAATACAAAATATATTCCATTAATACAAAAGCCGTAATAAACAATCTGGCATCACTTATTGTTGCATAATGACCACCTTTATGGAAATGTGAGTACTTCTGTGTCTGATATGAATCCAAATTATGCCTCTGTGTAAGATTTATTTGAAATGTTAGGTTCCTAAGGAATAGGAAAATTAAGCTAAATCTACTTAGAACAAAATTAGCTTTGGTATTGCAAAAGCAATAGCAATTATTGTTTCATTTTATACAGTATTAAAATAAATTAATTTCAATATTGAAATGGAATTTCAAAGTAAGAGATGCCACAACACAGCTCTAGAGAAATTTGTTTTTCTGGTGTATCTCCTGAATGTTGTGACAGGTAGTTATTCTGGTGCTCCAAACTAGTATCCACACGAGGTTCCCACATGAACAATGATTGAATTGCTTCACTCAAGATACCTGGCTTGAAAGGTTCTTGACCTGCTGGGCATGAATAATCTCCGGAGTATCGACAACACTGGTGTAGTTGGCTTTCTCCATTTCTGCCAATTGTTTGTATTTGATCTGTTGGGAAAAGCTCACGTTTAGGTGCCTTAATCATATCTTGACAACAATTTTCTTTTGGTTTAACCAGAAAAAATTGTTAATAAATTTTCCTTTAAAGAAGACATCAGATGTGACATATGAGATAGTCACACAGACCTGGCTGGCAATGTCAGTGGCATTCTTTGCTCTCACAAAATCTGGTGTCTCCAAAGCCAGTTCTGTCAGACCTTTTCCTCTGATTTCTAATTCCAAGGCTTTTTTGTACGCTTTCTGCAGATGAAGACAGTAAAAAGATTCTTTGTCAATGTGAATGCAATACCTTTAGCAACTTCAGATAGTTTCATGATCACACCACAAAATAGGAATACTACTAATACAAACTCACAATTAAACACATAAATGATGTCATTAAAATGTGTACTTTATGACTTAACTCTTGAGAACGAACAGCCCTACTCCAGCAGTAAATGGAGTACACTACAGGCCAGCTGTATTAAGGTCACTCTTCCTTCTCACACTAGTAATCTCAAAGTGTAAGTTCCTTTAGGTGATCGGTGCAAAACAATAACTTGTCCAGAAGAGAAGCGACAGAGAGCGAGCAGTGTGTGAAATGCATGTGGTAGTGAAGAGTGGTCACAGACGTTTCACACTGAGAATGTCCAAAAAATCCAAGATGTCAGGATTCTCTGTGATGTTTTGGACCCTTTGGAATGAATACCCTCCCTAAAAACTCAGTGCTGCAGCAGCCACTCTTCCCAAAGAGATCTTCCACTAAGGTCTAAAAGATTTATTTTTTATAGATTGGTATAATTCATACCTCTCTGTGCCAACTCTGCTGAACTTAGCTGAATATGTCTAATATTCTGGTAATAAAATATAGGCTCTTTGAATAACTCAAAAACTCTGCACTACTAAGTACAAAATGCTCTTGTCAGTAAGGATGCTTATCTTAAGACTATTTTGTTAAGAAGCAAAATCGTAAGTAACACTAAAAAGTTACTTTTTTCAGCTTTCAGCCCGATGATGTTAAGGCTCTTAAAATATGAGCTAACCTTATCCTATGAAAACAATCGCTATGAAATATTTATTATAGTAGTCCACCACATAAATAAAGTGGCTGTTAGGTTTGCATCCTGACTGTCTGCTGGCCACCTCTCTCCATCAAAGCGGGGAAGGCTGCCTCAGCCATCAGTCCTGCAGTTGCCAACTGGGCACCAGTCCTGGGTAGGGGGAACTGTTCATGGGCACGTGTTTCTGACTCATCCATCAAGCATGAAGCATTCAAAGAGAGCTCTTTGCTGCACAGCACACTTCCCAAAGCAGAAGTATGCCAGTCTGGTTCCCTCATTATAGTCCCTTTCTGATCTCTCACTTTGCTTTTTGTTTCCTCAACCTTGGTCCTTAGTTCCTAATCCTTGGTAACTGCTCCCGACCTAAGATGCCTCGTTTACAAAACTGACACCTCTGGTTCCTATGCTTAGCCTTGCTGCATCGCAATGCTGGTTTAGTCTGTCTCTCAACTGATCTGACTGTTGATCACAGCACCTGTTTCCCACCTATTTTCCTCACAGTAACTGCAAAGCCAGAAAAGAACTCACTTAAAAGTTCAGGCTCCCAGTTTTACCCTTAGTCACCCATACACATTCTTTTTTTCTTTCTACTCAAGAGCTTGAATGGGGAATGACAAAGTTAATGTTCCCCAATGTCACTGGGGAATGACAAAGTTAATTCTAGTGTTATACAGCCATAAGCATTTATCAGTTGGAGGCTGTTACATTCACTCAGGTATTTTCCAAATAGCTTTTGACACACCTCGTTCAGGATTTGAGTTGCATTCTTCGCTCTTAACATGTCTGGAGTCTCCTCTAAAGCTGTTAGTCCTTTACCTTTGACACCTTCCTCCAGATCCTTCCTATACTCTTTCTGCAGAAGAAAGAAAATGAAAACTGCAAAGCCAGACTAAAGAGAGTTCTACACTCTACAAATTTCTTGCAAAAATTTAAAAAAAAAAAAAAATTCCAAAAGAGAAAAGATTTTTTTTAAAACAACAAAGAATATCATATAGGGTTATGTAGGAACTACTGCAACAGAATAGAGTATAGTAAATATTGTTCAAGATAAATTGCAAAGGCACACACACACACACCTTGCTATGGAACAGTTAGGCTGATGAATGTCAGAAAGGGACACAGTAAATATGAATACAGTTAACTAGCAATGAAATAAATGTCCACAGCAAATTAGATCACAACACAAAATATATGTAAACATGCTTAATGTGAATGGTTAGGAAAAAGAAAGTGGTGAAGAAGAAATGCTGCTGAAAATACTTAGTGGAATTATTTAACTTGACAGAGGAAATAAGCACAGAATAACTGCTACCTCGCTTGCTATTTTGGTTGCATATTTGACATGTAATAAGGATGGTGTAATCTCCAAGCCAGTAAGGTTTCTGCCCTTAATGGACTCTTCAAAGTCCTTCTTATATTCTTTCTAATGAGAGTAAGAAGAAAAAAAGCAAAATAGCAAATATTTATTACATTATTTTTAATTACGTGAAAAACTACGGGGAGGATGGAGCAGTGTTTTGGTATTAATGTCACAATGACAATCTGCTACAGCCAATGCCGTGGGCACCTAAAGCAATACATCCTGTTTCTACTAAAGCCCATGAAACAGCTCATTACTTTCAATGGAAATATGACCTGACCCGCCCTTTTTTTTTTTTTTCTTTTCCTACTTATTTGTATATGCAGAGAAAACATTCAATGGAATCACTCAAACATAATGACTAATGGCCTTATACAACTGTTTTTCAGCAGGTATAGGCCTTCAACTGTGACAGATCAAGATTATACTTCAAACAAACAGAAAAGAACTGCTTGAGGTAATAGAATGGCAGGCCAGCAAAGAACACTATGACAGTAGAGACAAACAGGAAATAAATGGGTTTCTCAAAAATACAGTTCTGAGGTGAAAAGAATAATCAGGGTACTTTCTGTGTATACCGACACACATACTATACTCGTGTTGCAAAAGTTTAAGCGAAATGTATTTCATGTTAAATTTCTTCTAAAGACTCAAAGACTTGCTTAAGCTTCATTTACTGATAGCTTCTTGATGAAAAATTACAGATAATATACACTTCATCGTGACACAGGAAAGCTTCATGAATTTTAAATGTAGTATTTCATAATCAATATAAAGAAATGTGATATAGCTATAATGTGTCAGTCTATCAGCATGCACAAGATGCAAGTATAATTGCCTGTCTAAATCACTGTGAAAGTTTAACTATAAAAAATAAATGTTCAAGTTTTTTAGTCTACCAGTATCGATTTTAACTGTACCTCACTCTGCATGAGCTGAGATTCCTTTGCAGTAAGGTATGTTGGAGTTTCAAAGTCCAACATAGGTTTTCCTTTCTCCTTCTCATACTTTTCTCTGTATTTCACCTGAGAAGAAAAGAAAAAAAAGTTACCCCCCTAAATAATCAAAGAACCAATTCATCAACTAGTATGTGCCTACTTTAGTCAAGAGATCTGTGGTAAAAAAATTAATGTCTAATACTGTTTACCTTCCTGAAATCCATATTATGGACCATAAAATGTAAAATCAAAGGTCAGGCTTGCAGCAAAATGTGTGTGGCCTAAAATACTACTGATTTATTTCCTGTTGCAGAGAATAAGAAGTGTCAGGTCAGATTTCAAGAATTTACTGATCACAAGAAGGAAGACAGGTAGCTGTAAAAATCTAACTTGAAGGCACTCAGACTGCTCATGACCCTGGCTGAGTTCAGCCAGTTACATGTTAATGGATTGCTGGAGTGTTAGTGGCAGGGCTTGAAAAGATGCAGTTTAGTGACTTGCTAACTAATTCTGTGCATTGAGTGTCCAGGAAGTAAAATGTCCACAAGGATGAAGATATTCTTGCTTCAAGTTATAGCATCCAGCCTTTAGGGCATCAATTTTCAGACTGCTGCATGAGGTAGTGCTATGTCTTTGGCTGAGACAAATCCTGATCTCAAACTGGAGCAACAAGTAGTGACTTAAACTTTAACTACAAACTGATTAACAACCATTTCCTTATAGTCCTTTGCTGTGTAACCTTTTTGCTCTTCCATGCCATGCAGCAGAACAATAACTATGGCCCTTTGTGTTCTAGCAGTAATTTCTCTCTTGCTTTAGAGTCAATAAATACCTGGAATAGAACCTGGAATAGAGAGGATTAGAGGCCAAATCAGAGTATGAATTTCTCTGGAATGATTCACCATTTGCTGTGTTCCAGAGGGAAAAAATGTCAGACACATTTAATAGCAGCACTAGGTATTGTTTTGGTTAAAGCAATTTTGGATGCAGAAAAAGAATGCAGAGGTCTCCTTTGTATCACTTGAGGCTAGAATGGATAAAGCAGTTGAAAATATACTGTCAGCAGCAACCCTACTTCTTTCAATTTCCAGATCCTGTGATTACCAGGTCCTTTTTTCTACAGATGAAATCACCCTGATAAATGTACTATGCTGTGTAAAAAGATCCATATACAACAGACATAAGTAACTGAGATCTACTCTGGAATGAAGAAATCATACAGATATTTTATATGTGTTCTAAACTTGCAAATGTGCAAATATTTCTCATTGACTTGTTTACTCAGTGTGCAGAGTTTATAAAGCAGATAGGCAGAGAGATTGTTCTATACTGGAGAATTTGCTAGGATGACTTCAGTGATGGAGACTGGTACTCAGTGAGTGGGGTTAATGAGAAACACATGACCAACTTACGTGGCTCTGTAGTTCTGATGCCTCCCTTAGATGAACCTGCTCAAGATTATCTGGCACCACATGGTAGTGACCCTTACTCTTCTCATATTGCTTCTTGTACTGGTACTGAAGGGAAGGTGTCAAAAATCATCTCAATAAAAAAAAAATCCCTCAGCAAATTTACTTCTTAGGTCCAATCAAAGCAACACTTCAATGGAACATCAAAGAGAAATTAGAAATACAAAAAGCAAAACAAAACCAAGAAGTTTAACTCCCAGTATCAGATATCACTTCTAAAGATGTGGTGAACAGTTATCTTTTTTTGACCATTTTGATTGCAACAAAGATTTTTTCAAAACCAGGATTAAAAAAGAAAAAAGAAAAAGAAAAAAGAAAACACAGTGGATACATGAAAAGGCTGCACCAGGCAATAATGATTTTTGTCTTTTCTCAGTAAAATTATCAAGTATGTTGTTAGGCATAATTCTGTACATCTACAACAGGGGGACGTTAAACATAAACATGAAATGAAAAAAACAGACAAAAATAAAAATTTTAAATATAGTAAGCAGTAAAGAAAAAAGCAAAAAAAAAAAGAAAACAGTATTTGTTAGTGTGATGCAATCAGTTAAAATGTAATAAAGAATCAATTCACTAAAAATTATTAGAGGATTTAAAATATTAGCAGTTCTACAGCTAATAAAGATTTCACTTCCCAGAGGACAAATGTGGCAAAGTTGCTAGTTAGCTAGGAAATAATCATTAGAAAGTAGAGGAAGAGATCACTACCAGGTGATGTCCCATCAACAATAACAGAGGGAGTACTTGTTACAGAAACAGTTAGCAGAGATCAATTCAGAGTGGAATCCATAGTAATGGAAAAATCAAATGGATCCGGGATTAGTTAATGAGCTTACAGCGCTGGCAAGTTGGCTTGTGCTCAGGACATGGTTCATGATCAGCGATTCAGACATGTCTGTGACAGGCTTATGAAGTTTCTTTAAATCCGCCTTGTATTTCACCTGCAGGTAAGAAAGGACAAACAACATTAGAAAAGGAGACTGCTAATAAAATCTGTGATGTTGAATGTATTAATAACATAAAGGAGGTCTTTGTTAAAGAAATTTGAAACTTCTAATTTCCCTAGAGGAAAAGCACAAGTAAACATACCTCACTAGCCATGTTGTGAGCATCTTTCATCGTCTTGTAGATTTTAGCCTCCTTTAAATCATACTTTGGCTTTTTACCCATCTCTTTGGAAAAATTCTCCTTGTATTTCACCTAATTAAAAAACAACCAGGTATTACAACTGTTCTTGAGTACTCACTTGTTTGGCTGCAGAAAGCAAAGAGACCCTACTTCAATGCTGATAGTAAGCAGAAGAATGGAAATGTAGTAACTTGAAGGCATCCACTGGAATAACGGCTATTTTAAGGATGACCTGACATGGAAAGAAAATCTACATCTGTATTTACAAAATACCACTTGCAATTTTTCTTTCAGTGCACAGGTTACATCTCCTCATTGTAAAAATAACAGACATAATCAAGAGAAGTATGTTGACAAAATACAGCTAAATTCTGACCCTCAGAGATGAAGAATTTTTCACTTGATGGGAACTGTGCATAGACAAAAGATACCCCATTTCACAAAGAGACGAAAACTGACACAAGCATAAAGAGTATTTAAAAGAACTTTTTACGTACCTCTTGGAGAAATATAAGCTTTAAAAACTACCTCAAGACACACTAGCACTGAAGACGGCAATATATCAAATACTTTTACATATACTGTTATACACATATTGTGTTCTGTATAAATCAGAGATGAAGAAGGATGTTAATGATCACAAACAGAATAGTGATACAATTAATTACCAGGAATTAGATTGCGCAAGAGGCTTAGTAACACTTCCAAACCACATTAGCATCAGCAAGGTAAACCATAGCGACGTAAGCCATAATATTCCAGCAGACCCAGGCTGAAGGCACAGAAATGTTGAAAGGAATGAGAGTTTTGCTAATGACTTAAATGAGGGCAAGTCCTTCATTCATCATGACTTGGCCCATCCCACTGCTGCAGGTGCAGCTAGAGGCTAATCCCTTACTATTTCTTGTAAACCTACAAAAGGGATGGTTCCATTAGGAATATTTTGGTTTTATTACCTTTTTTGCTATCAGAGATGCATAAAACTGTTTCAGAAGAGTTACTAAAAGTGCAAGAAAAACTCAAAGTATTAAAGATTAAGTTCTGGCTTCTCTAAATGGATCCCTTAGTTAGTATGTATGCTCATCACCATTAGAGTAAACATCAGTAGAAAAATTCTGAGGATTTGTCATGCCTTCCCTGTAGTAGTATTCTGCCTGGTCTGGAAACAAGTGAGGCAACATTTCTTTCTGTTTACCAATCCACATTTCCTTGGAGACACTTTATACTAGATAAGCTAGCAACCCCATCCCTGGGGTAAAGAACAAGAACTGAACAACCGTCATCAGTCTTTCTGAACCAAGATAATACTTACAAAAAGCATGCAGAAAACATAAGACTGTGGCTGATGAGGATTAATGGTTCTTCAGAAAAAAACCTGATGTCCCAAGCAATATTTATGTGAAAATTGAAATGAAAGAAATAAAAAACTGAAGAACTGATAACTAAGTTGAGGAACTCAACTCTAGCTGACTCCTGCAAGAGGTTTTTTTATGACAATTACAGAAATGTAAACAGATAATTTTATATTAGTAAGAAAAGAAAGAGGATTGAACGCAGAATTAAATCACATTCCACAATCACATTTTACACTTTGAATTCGTTGTCATATTCTTATCCATACAGCACCATATGGTTCATGCTGGATACCACTGTTGCTCTTTTGCTTTGCAAAATACGCCAACATTCAGATAAAACACACAGTGAAACAGGCAAATGCACAAATTATATAGCTGCTCTAGGAAAACAAAGAATATTAACATTTTTGACATAGAGGAATCAGTGTTGGTTCTGACCTCACAAAAATTAAAATCAAGCAGAAGTGTACTAGAATCTGTTAAGTTTTGCAAGCTATGCAGCATATGATCAAGATCAGACCATCATGCCAAAGTGTTCACTTTTTTTAAGCCCAGGAGAAATGTTACTGGAAGATCTATGCAAAATTAAAAGCAAGCATGCCAGACAGGCAGATGAAATCCAACTAAAGAAAGGCAACTGGATAAACAAACCGGACATAATGCTTTATAAAGAAGCAGTTTATGAGAAGAAATGTCTAAGAGAAAAAAAAATTAAAGATTATGCCAATTATTCTTTGCTCCATTACTGCCTCTACAATAGTTAATTTTCTCTCAGGACCAAAATAATCTCATCAAAGCATGTTTGTAAGACTAAGAGGAGAACTGGCTAGCGTTGGAGCAAAAGCATGGAAAAGGAGGATCTCATCACTGAACAACAATAAACGTAACTTCTTCTTTTTCTTGTATTTCAATTGTTCAGTTTAAGAATCCTTGGTTCTACTGAAAAGACTTGTTTTTCCTGACAAACACAGTGGCTGACATTCAAACATGCGACAGTTACGTGCAGCAGTCATGGCTAGACATGGAAAAATCATAATCCCCCTTTTTTTCATTTGGAAATACATGTGCAAAACTGAAATGGCACAGATCTGTCTGCTGTCACTTCAAAAACTGCTACGCAGCCATAGTTTTTCTACATTTTCCAAAGATTTTGAGATGGCAAGAAATATAAGAAACTATGTGCCCTCAAATCGCACTTCTCAGAGGCTCTGGGGCTGATTTCAGTCATATACTATGCTTCCATTATGCCATTCCAGCACAACATAAACAGAATAGTTTAAATGAAGTTCAAATAGAAGTTTGAAGTTTGAATAGTTAAAATGAAGTTCTAGTGTGAATGTTATGCATATGGTAAGACTGTTCACTGAAAATTACCAGCACCGTTGTTCGGGTTTGTCATACACACGTTTCCATTTTTTGCACAGTTTCAGGAAAGCCAGCTCAAGCTTATATGTTTGTTTTTAGGTTTTTTGGGATGAAAAAGGTGAGTTTTCACATTGCATGAGTGCATTGGAAAACTTCTGTTAAGACCACTAGAAGTTCCAAAACCATTATGAAGGGCATAATAATGTTTCAAGCTTCACATGGCGTTTCTGAAACAGACAAATTCCCAACCCACAGAATCCCCATGCACTGTCTTTCCAGACGCAAAAAAAGGTGGTCACATCTAACTGAGCAGTCTCACAAGTTTTGCTACATTCAACACCTTTGACACAAAAAGATCCAGTGCAACTGGTGCACCATAAACCCTTTAACAGCTTGGAATTGTAAGATAATATGCAAGCAAGAGACAGATGCATAAAAATGGCATTCCCAGATGTGTCACTTAAAATTATCTTACATGACTACTTAGCATATTAGCTTTCTTAAAGGTTCTCATCCATGGGGTATCATAAGATGCAGCTCCATGCCCTCTCATATGTCGTTTGAGGTATTCTGCCTACAATGCGTAGCAAGAAAGCAAGATCAGAAATGCAAAAAATTACAGGATTAAAGCATGAAATGGTGAGAAAGAACCAAGTTGAACTGAGGTCCTGGTGGAAAAAATTGTCACAGAAAATAGCAAGCATGTGCTTCAGACTGATGAGAGAACATGACCATTGTATAAAAGTAAGCAAGCTTCTATTAATATAACATACTAACTTCAAAACAGAAGATTCTTTTAAAGGCACAAAGTAGAAAGAAAGTGGCTGAAAAAAACTGAATGTTCATCTCATAAGGGATGAATAATAAGAGTTAGGTAAAAGGTTGCTTCTTTTAAAGCCAATACCCAGAAAAGCTAAAAAAAAGAGACCATGGCTAACACTTCAGCCTTAGTGTTTAAAAGATCTTGTCATGGCGCCATTTTAAGGAGATTCTATACCTCCATTACTGACATTTAGTAAGTCAGTAGAAAAGTTTATTTAACAAAGAAATACCTTGCATTGGGATTTAATTTTTACTTTAACACATTCCCTTTAAAATATTCCCCTATCCCCTAATCTAGAATGATTTCAGTTATAATATTAGTATTACTCTATAAGTTAATATGATGCCTCATTTCTCTCACTGCTTCACAGTTTCACCAACTTTTTATTATTACCTGGCTAGTTAGCTTGGACACCTCCTTTGCCAATTCAATATCTGGACGTCCCAGCATGGTTACGCCAATGCCAGCTTCTCCACGCTTTTTATATTCAATCTAACAAAGAAAAAAAAAGTATAGTTTAGTAGTGATGTCATTCCCTTTTAATTATTTTACCGACACTGGTTTTAATAGTATAATTACTGCTAAAGAATTATACAGAAGACTTAAAAAACACTTACATCACTAATTAACTTGGCAGCCTGAGTTGCTTTCTTAATATCTGGTCGATCTGCTATAGGTGTGTAGTGGAGCTTTGACTTGGCATCTTTCTTGTATTCAATCTAATCCGTGATGATAGACAGAGGAAAGAAAATTACTGAGGTTTGTTCATGAGCAATATATCTAATAAGGACACAACAATGTTGCTGGGAAAGTGCATAGGTTTTTTTTAAAATAATTTCACAAGGAATGGATTTGGGAATCTGGTTTTGCAAGTTGTCTACAAATGAAGAAATAAGCATGTGCAATTCTGCCTGTATTTGAAGGAATGAAAAAAATTATTAGGTGTGATTTGCACTAGATTACTTTAAATCCTACCATGTGATTAAGTAGAAATATGCTTTTCAAAGAAACCTTTTATTTCAGTGCAATTTTACATTTGTAAATATTCGCACCTTTATCTTTCAGAATTAAACCTGAACATGGAGGCTGGGAGGAAATCCAGAAGTACGTGAACTTTTGTTTTTGCCAGCTGACTTTGATTGAATTTCCTTACACAAGCTACTTAATTCATGGAAAGACAAGACAAACTTACTGTACTCTGTTTTTTAGCAACTTCCATGGCATGTTTCACTTCAGGAGGCTCCAGCATGACAGAATAATTAGACTTGCCTTTCTCCTTCACAAACTTCTTTTTATAGTTTGTCTGTTAAGAGCAAAAAGGGCCATGTGTGATTTTTTAATTTTACATAGAGGTAAATGCTACTGAAACTTGGAAATAAGCTCACTGAAACTGCTAAGGCAGATAAAATGCAGTCTTCTCAGTCTCAAAATGTATGGTCCCCAGCTTGATTGTCATAATTTGCACTTCAGATTACAAAAGCTTGTTGTTTGGAGATAATGATTTGTGTTTAAACTGTGTTCTATGAAAAATAAAATCTGAATTAAGGACACCTGTTAGCACTCCAGCCTGTCACTTTTCTCCAGAGTATTTCAACAGATTCCCAATAAAATGTGTTTAGCTCTTTGTTAAAAGTCTCATTCTGGTAGTAATTAATCTTTCCTGACTCCTTGGACATTTTATGATGAGACTCTAAATGTGTTGCATGTATACTAAAACATGCAACAATCTAATCAATTATAGGCAGCAGGTAATAATCTCACCACAAATTGTTATCACACTAGTTACGTACCTCACTGACATTCTTGGTCACCTCTTTCACATGAGCAGTGTCTCGTGTCTCTGGCAGGGTTGTGTAAGACCCACGTGGAAGCTGCTTCTTGCTATGTTCTTTGTATTTGTTCTGAAAGCACAGAATAAAAACAGGTAAAAAACAGCAATGCAAGCCCTGTCCCTCCCCCCCATATTAAAAGGACGTAGTGAAAATGAACAAATAACTCTCCGATGTTTTACCTCAGATACAAGAGAGCTGACATTCTTAGCCAGGAGGATCTGAGGTGTATCTGGAACAACAAGGTATGTTCCTCGAGCTTTGTTGTGCTTCTCTTTGTATTTTATCTAGCAGGAAGAAAAGATATCGTTTTAAGCAATGTGTATCTTGTCTTGTGGCAATTTAAAAAGAAATTAGTATAGTTGTGCCTGCTTGTTAGTGAAAAGGTTTGCAGAAAATCCCATATTTTGATGTTTTCCAAGATAAATTCATTCCAGTCTGTATATTCCTACGGCTCTCACTTGGAATTTTATTAATATATGGAATATTGAATATTAATATATTGTTAGTAATTATTAAAGATACTTTGTGTTATGCACAAGTTACACCTGCAGCTTTTTTTGTTGTTTTCTCCAGATAATATTTTCATGTCAATAACAGGAACACAGAGATATACCAAAGGTCTAGGGTGTTCAGGCACTGTTAACTTTGAATGTTTACTTAATCCATGAACTAGGCCAGTGACATTCACAAGACCAAATTTATTCAGATTTTGCCAATTTGTTAATGAAATAAACAAGTCAAGTCAAATAATGAAGTGAGACTGAGAACAGCTTTTCAAAGCTTCCTTCTTAACCCAATCATATTTCCAATAAAGTAGTTTATGTAGTAAGTAAAGTTCTAGTAGAACAAAAAAGTGAGTGTTCCAAGTACTTACATCACTCGCCAAGATGGCATTATTTAAGGCCAATACTGTGTTTTTATCATCTGTGACAGAGAGTTTGCATCCCTTTAGGAATTCCCGGTCCAGTTTGTATTCATACTGCAGGAAGAAAAAATAAAAGGTAAAAGAAGAGAGTCTCAAATCTTCTACAATTTTTTTTTTTTTTTTATTCTGAGCATGAGAGATGGGGGGAAAGGGAGTATTCAGTTTGTTCTAATTTTCTTACATCACTCTGTTGCAGAGACGACTTGGCTGCTTGAACAAAGTCAGGCCTATCAGCAATCCAGTGCCAACGGGCCTTGGCTGCTTCATATTTCTTCTTATAATCCAGCTGTTTATAGTGAAACAACAAGAATAAAAGAAGTTAATTGGAAGTTGTGTACTTTACACGTGACAGTCATACAGATGCAAATTCTCTTTCGGTCTGCACCAATTAAAGAGAGAAGAGGTAAGAAAGTGCATCTACATCAGACTATGGCTTTCCTCTGAATCATGTGCAATCCAGTGGGAGTCCATTTACTTAGTTTTTCCACTGCTAGGTGGAGAAAGGAATATGAATGACTGAAAAGATGTCATGACTTTGAAGAAGGTGAGTGCTTTCAGTTCCTTGCCTATTGAACTGGATGTTGGGCCACCGATAATAGAAAACACAGGAGAGCTTCCCACGGAGCGCTTACTTTGTCTCAGAGAATTTCTGGGACAGTTACGTCTCTGTCAGGAAAACAGAGGGGGACTAGAAGAACAGTAGATGTGTGACATGCAAGGACCTCAAGTGACCTCAAGGACAGCTTGCAAGAGTGAGCACTTTAGTATGAAATAAATTAAAATATATTTTATTCAAGCAGCATAAGAATTAGAAGCAATGTCCAAGCTCAAAAAATTTCACTGGAACTGAACATAATTTCTCATGGTCTCCATTGCCAGTCCCAAACACTATCCATAATAAAATTAAAATATTAATAAAACTGAACTCACATTGCTGTTTAGCTTGTAAGCATGCCTTGGAGTCTTAATATGAACTGAATCTGCTATGACGTTGCAGTGAGATTTATTCCTCTCATACACTTCTTTGTATTTCAGCTAAAGAAAGACAAACATAAAAAATGTTTACAAAGATAATATCATTGTCAACAAGAAAAGCATAAAAACATGAAAAACCATAATATTAAAGATTGCTCCTGTCAAGATAAAATCTTAGCAGAAGAAAAAGAAATTATATCAATACAACTTGGTATCAACCGTCTGCCTGAAAGAAGGGTCCTCTTCAGCAGCAGTTCTCTTTAAATAGAAAATGTAGCAGGTATAACTCACTGTGAAGCACAGACTACAACTTAACAAAATCTACACAGGAACAGTAATTCTGCCTCTTTCTAGTTTTTTGCACCTAATAGAAAGGCTTTAAAGAAACTTATGTTCTGATAGGCACATTCAATGCTTTCTGAATATTCCTTTATACAATCTCAAATTCAGCACTCAGTTTGGAACAGAAAAAAAGTACTTCAATTCACAGATTGCTTTTGAACACCTTTGTCTCTTAATGATCCACATTAGTATCTGGATAATATGGGTATTTTTTTCTCATAGATTTAGTCATTATATAGATAATCCATGTAGCATCTGAATGACTTTCATGCTACTTCTTCTCACAGAACTATATTGAGTTACAGAAGTGCTAGTATCCTCATTTTATTTATGGCTATCTAAGGAACAACAAAGCTCAGAGAGAAAGCCTAGGGTAGGAGGAGGAATTAGGACCAGGACTCCCAAATCCTATGACATTATTCTAGCCATTTCACATTCCTTTCTCTCTCTTCTTTTTAGCCTTCCATTGCCCCATAATCAAAACGTATTTATTTTAGATCAGAATATTTACCTTACATATTCACAATATCCATAGAAGAAATAAATAAATACAGTAATGTATTAAATACCTTATTCAAGGCTCCACAAAAGCCACTAGCCAACAGAGGAAGAAAACCCAGAAACAAACTCCCTAAATCCATGCTTTAATTAGATACGAGTTCCAGCTCATGGCTTTTATTACTAGTGAGGGCTGCTCTACCCCAGCAAAAATGTTCCAAGAGCTACAGAAGAACATTACATGAAAAAACTTCCTGAACACTTTCATACTCTATTGTGTTTTTTGAAAAACCATTAAGTACATACGGAGTTTTACATACAAATAAAACCAATGCACTCTAACAAGAAGCTATTTTTTAATGACAGTGTTACATATGAGTTTAAAGTATTGCATATCAAAGTAAAAAGTTGATTCTGTGTCTTTTTGATACCACAGACAAAGATAATTTACTTACATCACTTATTCTGTCCTTGACCTTGCGCACATGCAATAACATAGGTGTATCATGGATTGTAGTATAGCCTTTAGGCTTCGCTTTGTTATATTCCAACTTGTAAATAATCTGAAGATAAAAATTACAGATTATATTATTTCTTGACATTATTGGTGTCAATTGAAAAAAATCAAGATGAGAAACATTGTATAATGGACAACTGAAAATGCCATATTCTTAATTATCGCACTTCAAAGGTCAGAATTCAGAGAAGGAGGTATGCTTGAAAGGGACTGACCACACTTACATCACTAATCTGTTTGTTGACTTTCGTAGTCCTTAAATGTTCTGGAGTATCCACAACCATAGTATACTTGTCTTTCTTCTTTTCATAGTCCTTTTTGTATTGAACCTGGTGATTGGGAAAGAGCATATGTTAACCAGACAAACCAAGACAAAACATCTTCAGGAGATATGTTTATATTCACGCATAAAACTGCAAAATCCTTCCACCAAAGCCAATGAAAGCTGAACATGCACAGTGAGCTAAACTTTGCAAACCCCTTATTTGCCTAAGAGGCTGGCTATCTATTTGTGTGATTAATTTCACATCTATTTCACTGAGTGTAAAAGCTTCACTTCTATCCTAAATCTCCAAGATTGAGCTAAAAAAGCAATCTCAGCAGATCAGTGACTTTTAAAATTCATAACTGGACAATATCTCATTTTTAAATATTCATCAAATGAAGAGAAACGTAAAACATCTTACACAGTAGAAGATAAAAACATCCACTGAATATATCATAATGCCAGGCTATTTTAAAGGCTTTGATAGCAGAATTTGTATCTTGATAATTTCTTTCTTAAAGATCTTAAAGATCCCTACTCAGGACTCTAAACCTGTTTTCACAGAATTCAGTGAGAACAGACTGTACACCAAGAATGATAAGTCATTGTAGACAGCCTGAGGGCAGGTGGAAGAGGTTAGAACACATTTTTAAAAAAGAACTTTCATGCTCTATCTTGCATCAGAAAATAAAACCATGCTTTTGAAACAGGACTATGACAGACAAAACATAAAAAATTATATACAAACAGCAAATCATAACATGAAGTCAACTCAGATGAACATGCAGGTCAGGCAGAGTGCTATTTTTTTTTTTCTTCAAAACATACTCAAACTTACCTGCAAGGAATTAATAGAAATCCATAGATAAATTGAACAAAAATGTCTAGTAAACACCCTTCAGTACCTTATTACTGAAGAATTTTGTTAACTGTGCTAATAGTAACAAAGAACACCTCCTTCCTCTCATGTAATTGTTTTCTACTGTTGCATTTCCAGTTTATAATTTAAATGCTATACGCCTGTTTCACCTGGCCCAGTCAGGAATCATTTCTACCATTGAAAAGAGTAAGGTTACTGCTAGCAGCTGTGATTTCAGAGCAGAAATAAATATGTACCAGTTATTTAATAAGCCACATTTCCATCCAACTGGTACAACCAAAATATATATGCTAGAATCCAGATCAAATTAAGGTATAATATGGAAAATAGATTCTTCACTATAATATCAGAGTCATTACAGGCTTTCTTTTATATAATCAGAAATATAAATATGTTAGGCTCTTTGGTCTGTATGAACAAATAGATGAATTATACTCACTTTCTACCTTCTGATTCTTATTAGAACTGGCAAAAGGAGAGAGTATTTTTTTTTAATAAACTGTATTATGTGACTGCATGAGGACTGCTTTGCTAGCCTTGCTTAAAAGCAGTAGGTAGAGAAAGAAATTGATGAAAACATGATTTACTACAGACGTGTGCACCTATACCATTTCTAAGAGCACTTAGAAGTGAGACATGACTCTGTTCTGTATCTAGGCACAATCTGACACCATTTCAGGCAGAGTGGTAGAAAAATGTTGTAATCTACTCGCCAAATTACTTCATCATGTGCATACTGAATTAAGGGACTTGTGTTGTGAGGTCAGTCCAAGAAATGGTGGCAGAGTGAGAATTTGGTTAGGAAAATATCAGGAACAGCTAACATACAATATCTTAAACGTATGGAAAATTGCTCTTTATGTAAGTATGTGAAGTATTATATAGAAGTATATATAACCATTATTTATAATGAAAGGAGAAAATGGAGGCAAGATCAGCCTGAGCTGAGTGAAGTCCAAGTTACAGTAAATATTGTTTCAGATAGTCTGTTTTCAAAAATATTTTATCATAGCCAGCGTTAAACACATCAACAGAACTCTGGAGTCTGATATCCATAGAAATTTAGAGAACTCCCAAGCATTATATATTAGAAGTCCAAGCAGCTAATTTGTATATATATATTTGTATATATAATGTCTCCTACAGCAGCAGTTCTTCATATTACCTGGCTCCATAAGTATGTGTTGTAGAGTGCTGTCAGCATATCTGGCCTCAGAATTTCATTACATCCATGTTGCAGGAGCATCTTGGCAAAGGATTTATATTTTTTCTGTTCATGCAAATGGCAACGAAGCACAAAAGAGCCTTGTGAACACCATAAACAACAACACAGCTCTAGATCCCAGACACTTTGAGAGTGGAGAGATTTAGGCCAGGTACTATATGTATTCATTCAGATGTGCATACAACTTACATCTATATAATTAAGAATGTCAAGAGTATATATTAAAAGATTTGCATACTATCCCACTAAGGAAATTGTGAAAATATTTTTTGGGAGATAAAAGTAAAGTATAGATTAAGGTGAGGGCACTCAAACGCCAAATACGTCACTGTTGCTTGAGTAATGAGTAAGATGATAATGTTTGTAAAGGTCATTAAAAGAGAGGTAATAAAAAGTAAATGCATGATACAACATGCATTTTTTTTAAAACCTCTCCAATGACTTCAAGAGGCATTAGATTTCTGATGTCAATTGATGCACAATATATGAAAGTACATACAGTAAAGATTAGCTCACTCAAAAAGTAATAATTCTTTTTGGGTGGCAAAACAAAGACTGTCTGATCAACTGAACTAAAACATCACAACATCACAGGTGAAACCTGTGATACTGCTAGCTATAGACATTTCACACAGACAGAGCAGCTGAGAGTGAACCAGGCACTTTCTGGCAGCACCGGCTAGTGCTCCTACAGTACCTGACTGCTCAGTGTGGTCCCCCACTTGGCCAGGAGGTTCCTAGGATCATCCACAATAACGCTGTACCTATCTTTGAGCTTCTCATAGGCAGCTTTATATAATTTCTGCTCAGAATAGCATAATACAGTGTAACAAATTAAAAGAGAGTGAAGACACAAAGAGATCATACTTGTAACCATTGAAACCTCTTTACATGGGCTATTTAAAGGCTGGGATTGAAGTTCATATCCAAAAGAGAAAAATATATTAATTAAAAAAAAAAACACAGAGAGAAAATATTTCCAAACAGTATATGCATTTCTAAATTTCCACTGGAAGGCCTAATCTACAATTTAAGGGTGCCTATATTCTATCCCTGCCGTTCTTCAACAAGCCATTTTATGACTTACTTTCTTCATGAAAAATAACTGCAGAACCAACTCTGTATGGAACTAGATTCTTGATTTGAGTACAAAGAGAACACAATGAGATGCAAGGGTAAATACAATGTTATATTATCATCAGACATTTTGTAAGCAAAAACTATAATCCCTCATCACAAAAAACATCACTTACATAACAGAAGACATTTAGGCAAGTTCATTTCAATTTACGGAGCCCCCGTTGCTAAAATTTTACTCATTTATGTTTCTCATATTAAATTTTTCCTTATTTGCTCTACTGAACAATAAGAAGACTGAATACTAACAATCTTCCATAACAAATTCTGGTTCCCTGCTTATCAAATTGAGTATAAAATGATAGCAATGGTACTGGAATGGTATCTGTTGTGAAACAGTTTTTCTTACCTAGAACAGGTAATACCGTAATACATTTACTGACAGGTAAACAATTCAACATAATGTCTGGTGAAAAAGAATAAAATACCAAGATGTGAGAGTCTAAATATATGCTGCTTTAAAAAAAATCAGAGTCTGGTGTGGTATGCCAACTCTAAGCTGATGAGAATTCACCTAGAACACAGTGCTTTTCAATGGGCTTTGTCCCATGGGTGTACAGCACTACTCCTAGAAATTCCATTGGTGATTTTAATCTTAAACCCAGGGGCATTCATTAACCCCCTTTGCTACTATGTTGTGTTTATTGTTTCTTTGGCATTACAGGAGAAAAGTAAGAAAAACTAAGTAGTAGAGTGGGAGAATTCAAGGCAAAATATCTGAAATGAAACAGAGCTATGGTAACTTCAGACATAATACTATCTTCTTAACACTGATGCAGTTGGCTTTTTTTCCATGTTTCAGGAAAGCAATTGTGATTCTCTCTATACCTTTTTTACATGACAATCAACCATCAGTGTTACTAAGTAAGCAGCATTATTTAAGTTAGCATTTATTTACCAGTCAGCAAAGGAGAAGTTTCTTTGTAATGACAAAGTAATGGAACAGGGGTCAGGATTTCACTTTTTAGGTACTGTAAACCTTTCCTGTCCTAATACTCAGACAGACAATAAGAACAACCTTGTCTTTCATTATTTTAGTCTGACCTTAAGACATCTTTAAGCCTGAATATATTTTATTTAGAATTTCATAAGGAAGATCAACCTTCAACTCTGTATTAACATACACACACTTACTACTTCAGTATGAGACTCTACAGAAATCTTTAATACTTACCCCATCCACCAGCTGAGTTGCATGTTTAAAATGCTTGTTAATTGGAGAGTCAGCTACATAGTTAAAATGAGACTTAGTCTTCTCAAATATCTCCTTGTACTTACACTGGAGAAAAAAAAACAAACAGAAAAAAATATTCCAATGTTAATCCAAAGAAGGGTAAGGCAATGAAAACGTATGATTTTAGAAACAATCTGCAGCAAAACCATGGTAGAATTATTGCATATGTGTGTTTAACATATCTACAAACAAAAAATAGCTGTAAATATAGTAGTTTGCAGGATGGAACTATCACATCAAGAAAGCAATGGAAATTTCAAATCTTCATAATTTTAAAGTTAGACTTAGAATCACTAGAAAAATTTCTACAGAGCTCATAGCTTTGCAAGGAACAGAGGGGATAAGTAAAAGATCATTTTGCCTCTGTTTTACAGTAAGAACTGAAATTTTAGATGCTATATATTAAGTTCTACCATGAGTTATTCATATCAACATCTAGGTCAGAATTGGATTCTCCTGTGAAAAATATATCTACGATATAAGCAAACGTCAAAAAACATTTAGCAACAATTCAGACTGTTTTACTTACCCCACTGTAGAGCACCTTATTCTTTTCTGCCAGAGCAAAACTTGGAGTATCCCATGCATAACAGCCAGTGCCTCTAAGCCATGATAAGTCTTCCTTGTATTTAACCTTTAGAAAAGAAGTAAAAGGATTCAGTTTTAAGCGGCATCGAGTGGTAGCTGATCAGTGCTGAAACGGCACCTCAACACAAGGTGTAGCAAACAGAGCTACTTCCATTATTATTCCATTATAAAATAAGTTACAGTTACTCATACTTTTCTAATGGACTCAGATTATTCACATACCTAATCTATCATTAGCTATTCGAGTTCCTGTGCGAATTAAAAAACATTTATTCTTGTACAATTATGGGGTTATTGTATATGTACAGATATGTACAATTAAAGGGGTTAACTTTATAATACATATATAATAATGTATTATATGTACATATAATCTGTATATGTACAGATATGTACAATGTTATAGGGTTAACAAACAAATCTAAGCAAATGCAACTGAAAATAATTAAGACTGTTCTGTTAATTTCAAAAGGAGATGGGCTGCAATTTTAGCCATCTGATTTGCTCTGTCATTTCACAGATCTGCCAGGTGAAAGTGTAAATCACTTTAAAAATTTCAGCTGCCTTCCCTTTCTCACAATAAGACTTGGTTTTCATTTTGGAAACCTACTTAAAACTTTCAACCTCCCACACCCAGGAACTATTTGAACTCACATCACTAATAGCATCCGTGACTGCGCGATGATGGTAATGCTCTGGACGGTCTGGGATCGATCTCCAGATTCCTAACTGGCTCATATAATTTTCCTTATATTTCACCTACAAAGAAAATTGAAGAATGAAGTAAAACAATTTGAGAACAGAACATGCTAGACTATGCAGTTTCAAGACATTCCTTTTTCTGACACATCAAAACTAAAACAGTGGAAATGAGATTAACTTGCATTCACCTTTGTCACATCAAAGGCAATCGGGTGTAAAATATTCCAGAGAAGGAAAGAAGTTAATATTGATAGTGCTGATCATATTTTTCTAATTATTTGACACACTTAAATAGAACGATAGCATAAATGGCATATTCTAGGTTATTAAATGACAAACACTAATTAGGAATGAAAATGTTGTATACGTACACTGCTAATATCATCGGTAACCTTTCGATGATAGACAATATTCAAAGCATCTTTCACTGTGTGGTACTTGCCCTTAGTATTCTCAAAGGTTTCTTTGTAGCGCAACTGGTAAGAAAAAAAACATATAAAAGAATATATTATATTTATCTGTCAGGAATTGTTTTAGTTAAATTTCCTACCTCTTAGGAATGACATCCAGGCATATGTTGCTGTCAACTTCCTAATTTAAGCCGTGGGGAATTTTAAGAAGCTGCAATTGCCTACAGTCAATTGCAATTTGACTGTGATTTATGGTGAAAATTAGAGAGAAAAGGAGTTGGTACATCTAAAGCAGCATTTCATCCTATTCACTTTTAGACTGAAGACTGACGAAAAAACATCCATGTATCACAGGACTACTCTCTAGAACAGTGAAAGTGCCACTTTTGGCATAAAAACCCTCTACTTATCCCTTCTTCTATGCCCTGATCTAGAAGAAAGCAGGAAGATCAATCCAGTCTTTGGAGGAAGACTTTCTCAGAGGAGAAATTCAGATATGCAAAAGAACTGGGATGCTCCTTTGCAGTATTTAAAAACCATTCTTGAGAGCAGTAAGACTGATCATCAGAACACAATACCAGCCCAGCACATATCCTTTCAGGATACAACAATCTGAAATATATAGCAAAGATCTCACGAATGAGTAGAGTACTCTTAGCCATTGCCTTAAATCACAAATCACTATTCCACGCTTGAAGGAAAAATCAATTTCAACTTAATAACCTTATGTGCAGCAGCTCAGATAATTTTTCTCTCTAATCTACTTCTAAATTAAAAAATGAGCACATTCTCAGTGACATGCAAGTTTACTTCTAACACAAAACTGAGATGAAAATATCTGATGAAAGGTATTCTACCCTGGCTCCAGCATCAATCATTTCACTCCAATCTGCACTATTTGGAGATTTCATGTGTAAGCAAATTCCTTTAAATCTGTTTTTCCTTTGTTGTAAGACCACACTTCGGTGCAATGGAAAGTGAAAATGAAATAAAATAAATGAAAAAAAGCATTACAGTGACATCAAGTAAAAACTTAATAATCTCTGTAATATCAAATGGAAATGTACATGCAAATGGGGTGACGTAGTTTATGACCCACACTGAGATATTCTATGCTTTGCATGCTCATTCCCCATTGATCCTTTTTCTGTTCTTTTCATAAAGAAACAAAGAAAAAGCAGCAGTGAAAGTGTTCATGGACTACATACATCACTGGCATTCAGGTATGCTCTCTTGGCTCTGATCAAGACTGGTGTATCAGGGACAGGAGTGTATTTGTCCTTCATCTTCTCATACTGGGTTTTATACTTTTTCTAAGAGAGACAGCAAAAGGGAAAAGTTATATCTTTAATCTTAGAAGCATTTGCTAATCTGGTATTATGTTAATGCCCAGGGGTGCTACACCGAGTGCATAACATGATTCTTGCAAAGCGCTTCTGTCAAAACTTTGGAAAACAAGCTCAGCTGTTCAGCTCTCTCTAGGTCTTCCTGGTCTTGCAGCCAGTGTACCTCAGATTCTGCAAACAAGCACTTAGAAACAGGTATCTTATAAAATACTAAAACATTAAAAAAGTGTTCTCTTTTAGCACAACTTACGAAGGAAACATGGAACTTAAGCATAAGACACAGAAAACTAAATGAAGGGTAAACAGATTTGAGCCTTGAAACTATCACTAAAACTAGAAATAAAACTTCTAAACAGTTCAGCATAGTGGTACCAAACAAAAAAACCCAAATATCTTACCTCACTGACCATGTCCTTTACATGCCTAGCATGTGTAAAGGCTGGAGTCTGACCACCAGCATGATGATGGGGTCTCTCTTTTGTGGCAAGTTCCACGTACAAGTACTGCAGAAAGAAGAAAAGAATCAAAAAATATACATTTCAATTAAGTTTTACTTCACCTCTCTGAAAAATGTCTGTAAATTCACAATGTACAATAACCACACAATTTACCCCAGGAAAAAATAATGTGCCCTTTCCTCTTCCATACTATCTTAGTTCATCTTTCTCTATCAGTACTCTTGATATTCTGTAACTGCCAGGAACATGCTCACAAACCAAGAAGTCAAATGCATGTGATGTTAGTGACCTCTCTGCCCTACATTCAGACCTAGCTTTAGATAAAAGCATCCATAAGGTCTGGTTTTCTCTGGTGAGCATCTTCATTTTGTTCTGCAAATTTAAAATTCCACAAAATTTGTAGCTAATAACTTAGATAATGAACTACTATATGAATAAAGAAATGAAGATGAATAAAGGTAGATGGATAAAAATATTTATTCCTCTGATGAAGTCAGATGTCAGAGAATTTGAACAGAACTGTACCAGGGTTCAATGCTCTACTTCAGATGGACAAAGCTGAGCATGTCCATTACAGAGACATGGTCAACATGATAATTCATAGCCATTTAAAAATGAGCAACAGTCATTTTAAACGTCCTCCCTAGGAATTCTACATTACTTTGAAATGGCCTGGAAAGATTTTGCTGTACTTTAAGAGTATATTAAGAGGGATCCCCTCATTGTTCTTTTATCAGTACAATTTTTTCACCTGGCTCTGTATTTTTTGTCCTTGCTTGGCTCTTAAGAAGTCAGGTGTATCAAGGATGGAAGTGTATTTTGTCTTCAGTTCCTTGCCTGCAGCTCTGTAAACCAGCTGGAAAAAGAGAGGTAAATGAATTATTTCTTCCATTAGATATGTTCATTTAGCAGCTGAACAATCACGGCTTTGCAATTATAACATCTCATGTATTTCAGAAAACACAGTGAGAGGGTCTGAGCTTAATTATAACTAACAAAGATGTGCAAAAATAATATAGAACTTACTTCACTCAAATGGGTTTTCAGTTCCTGAACTGTTCTGTATCCAGGAGTATCCAATACCACATTGTATTTAGCCCACATCTTCTTTGCGGTACCAGTGTATATATAATTTGACTGGAAAAAGAAAAGCAGTATTACTTAGGAAGCTTTTATTAGTCTTGGTAGTAAAGAAAATTTTACAGTGTAACCTAACAGTGCTTTGAAACAACTAACTAGCTGCATGGCAAGAAATTCTGTCATAAGTCTTTACTCATTTTCATGTACTTAACTTCCTGGAAGTACATAGCATGCGTGTAAATAAATCAATCATTGTTATACATGCTTCTACATGGTTCTCAGAAGAAAAATCTTACCCAAAGCTTACGCAGCTGACGAGCACGGACCATATCAGGAGTATCATACAGGAAGCAACCCAAGCCCTTCAACCACTTCAGGTCCTGTTTGTATTTATTCTATGAGGCAATTAGAAAAAGAAAAATCAAAAGTTAACTTTTGGGATCATTTCATTAATCAGTCCCTAAACAAGTGACAAATCATTTATCTATTACAGAATACAATGCAAATGATAGAAGCCAAATTCCACTTTCAGTATAAAAGCAGTATTGAATCATAGAATAGTTTGGGTTGGAAGGGACCTTTAAAGGTCAACTAGTCCAACCCCCCTGCCGTGGGCAGGGACATCTTCAACTAGAGCAGGTTGCTCAGAGCCCCGTCCAGCCTGACCTGGAATGTTTCCAGGGATTGGGGCATCCACCACCTCTCTGGGCAACCTGTTCCAGTGTTTCACCACCCTCAGCATAAACAATTTCTTCCTTATATCTGGTCTAAATCTCCCCCCCTTTAGTTTCAAGCCATTCCCCCTTGGCCTGTCACAACAGGCCCTGCTCAAAAGTCTGCCACCATCTTTTTTAGAAGCCCCCTTGAGGTACTGATAGGCTGCAAGAAGGTCTCCCCGAAGCCTTCTCTTCTCCAGGCTGAACAACCCCAACTCTCTCAGCCTTTCTTCACAGCAGAGGTGTTCCATCCCCCTGATCATTTTCGTGGCCTCCTCTGGACCCGCTCCAACAGGTCTGTGTCTTTCTCATGCTGAGGGCTCCAGAGCTGGACGCAGTTCTCCAGCTGGGGTCTCACCAGAGCAGAGTAGGGGGGCAGAATCCCCTCCCTCGACCTGCTGGCCACGCTGCTGGTGATGCAGCCCAGGATACAATTGGCCTTCTGGGCTGCGAGCGCATGTTGCTGGCTCATGTCCAGCTTTTCACCCACCGGTACCCCCAAGTCCTTCTGGGCAGGGCTGCTCTCCATCCCTTCATCCCCCAGCCTGGATTGATAGTGGGGGTTGCCCCGACCCAGGTGCACGACCTTGCACTTGGCCTTGTCAAACCTCATGAGGTTCACACGGGCCCACTTCTCCAGCTTGTCCAGGTCCCTCTGGGTGGCATCCCGTCCCTCTGGCGTGTCGACCACACCACTCAGCTTGGTTTCATCTGCAAACTTGCTGAGGGTGCACTCGATCCCACTGTCTATGTCATTGATGAAGATATTAAACAGTACCAGTCCCAATACGGACCCCTGCGGGACACCGCTCATCACCGATCTCCATCTGGACATTGAGCCATTGACCACCACCCTCTGAATGTGACCATCTAACCAATTCCTCACCCAATTAGGCCTGTTGTATTCAAATACCAGGTGTCTTAATAGAAGTTGCTTACATCACTTGTGATATCCCCAACATAGCGGCAGTGCAACACCTGAGGAGTGTATGGCAAGGAAATCAAGTGTCCCTGCATCTTAAAGAAATCTGACTTGTAGATCAGCTGAAAGACAAAGAAAAAATAGCATTTCACATGTCTGGCCATGCTGAATATTCTAAATCTCTTCTGGTTTTTATATTAGAAAGACACATACATCACTGACAGCTTCCTGTGTTGCTCTGACTTGACGGATTTCTGGTGTGTCTGGAGTGGTATGAATCTTGTCCTTGTACTTGTGGTATGTTGCCCGATACAACCTCTGTATCAAAGGAGACAGCATTCTACAGGTTAAAAACTTAAAATGGCAAGCAGTTTGGCAGAGTGTAAGTACTTTTCTTTTAAGGGCAGGGTTTTTGCTAGGTATTGTATAACTACCAGAGAAAAGGGAGCAAACAGACTATTTTCTAACCAGGCAAAGATTTTCCACAATTGTTTTTAATAGTAGCATCTCTACTACATGGAGAAGCTGAGACTATAATCCTACAAACATGTAAATATGTATGTTTAATTTTCACCCTATTAAAGCCAATGATCAAACCAGTGAGTACATATATATCAAACCTAAAACTATCGAGACCCAATGTCATACAGATACAATAATTTCTATGCAATTTTAATCAAGTAGCAGCAGATCAGTTAATAAAATGAGGCTGCAACTGATTTTATATTATGGTAACAGTTCTACAGGATTACAGAACGTTAGAGTTATCAAGAACCTTAAAAAGCCACACAGCTCAACTCCAAGCCTGGATCAATGATCCCTTGCCATTCTTCATGGATATTTGTCTAAACTGCCCTTAAAAGTCTCAAAGAACAGGGATCCTGCAACCCTCCCAGTCAATGTACTCTCATCATTCATAGTTTGGGCACTACAAATATAGTTGAAAGCAAATACATATATTTACTGTACCTCATTAATGACTTGATTCACTTTCTTCACATTTTCAAACCCAACATCTTTAGGTCCCAGAGTATAGCCTTTAGCTTTCATGTGTTCATAGGCTTCTTTATATTTCAGCTATAAAGTGGAAAAAGGAACAAAAACATACAGAAACTAAATTTGATTGTGATTCTACTTGCACTGCAGTTCTGACAGTAATTTATGCAGGATAAAGAGCCAGATTTTTAGAGATAAACAAGTGAGATGTAGCTATATCAGAGTAAAATACACTACACATCATCATTATTTTTACCTTTATCATGTGGCCCAAGATTAATAACATTTTAGATTTCTCTTGCATCTAATAAAGTATTTGCATCTACCTGAGGAAATGTATATTCTGATAGTAATTGCTTCAGATAATTATGGGGTTTGGTAACATTTACATTCTGTTAAGGCAAACATTATCAGTGTTGGGGCTTGAGTGCACTACGATTTAATTGCCCTGACTAGCCACACCTGGGATGTCAGGCCTTGCCTGAGCTATGTTGTAAAGTGCATCTGTCTTCAGCCGTGTCTCCTTCCTCATTTCCTGGATGGACATTGGTCCCACGTTATCGGTAACTTGTCTCTAGCCCTGTCTCCTGGATTTACCCTGGACCTATGTTGAAGGTAGCTTGTCTCCAATCTCTGCTCTGTTTCCCGCAGCTCCTGACTGGATCCCCCTGGATGGACCCTGGCCCTGGTTCCTCACCTTGTCTAGGACTGTTGATGCAACCTGTTATCAGCACCCTGCCCTGCCCACCCCATTCACGGACCTTGGGACTTCACCCTGGATGATGAGGTCACTGCCTATGTCGTGGTCACTCTCAGTTCCTGGCTCAGGCATCCACATGGAACTGCCCCACTCTTGTTGCTCTCTGACAAGCAATCTCATATCTGAGAAATAACTGTCTCAAACAGTTGTGTGTTCATACAGGATGGGCATCAAATATTCCCTTGCAGCTCATGTTGTAGAAGGACTTAGTACATTACTTACATCACTGCCAATGTATTGGACGTGTTTAGCATGCTGAAAGCTCGGGGTATCTGTGGGAAGGCTGTATCCAGTAGGTAGAGCATTCACACCAGCCCAGCGATACAAATTCTGCAAGAGAAGAGAGAAAGAGAGAGTTTGTGATAACTGTGTGTAATATTTGAGTATTCATTAGCTGCATAGGAAATCTCTTAACCGCAGTTGGCAAAAGATTTCCCCCATGCCTGCATTATAATGCATACTTGTAGCTTAAATGGGGACATTTTCCCACTTCCATTTTAGAGCAGTAAAATCTAGCTTCTTTATCTGAAGAGCTAAAGACAGACATTAACTTTTAAAGAATTTGCTTTTCGAATATCAGAAACTCTGTGGACCCAAAAGTTTTATACTTACCTCACTCTGTATTTTGTTCGCATGATATGCCCGCTCCAAATCTACTGTTTTATCAGTAGGAATAATTTTGCCTTTAACATTGTGCATATATTCACCACGATAGACAGCCTGAGAACAAAAAAAAGAGTAATTAGAGGAGAGTCATAATTGTGATGTTCTCTCACAGTATGTATTGTTTGCATACACACAGGAATTTCTCCTAAAAAACTGGATGAAAGTTTTTTGGATTCAGGCAGTTAATGATTTTAGTGATTGTGTTCTCCTATCTTAATAAAGGCATAGGCAATGAGTTGTAGATAACCAGCAATGATTAAATGATTAAAATGAATTTTTTTTAAAAAAAATTAAAAGTCACATTTCTAGAACTTGTGAGGTAATGGCATATGCAATATTGGAGGTGAAAGGTGATACAAACACTTACTTCACTTAAATTCAAGCCACTGAGGACATTCTGGACATAGACGGGAGTGTCCATGACCACAGTGTAGTCATTCTTCATCTTTTCTGCCTTAGATTTGTACTTAATCTGCAGAGAGAAATTCAAGAGCTCTAATTAGTAAGGCTAGTCATTGTTAATTGAATTTATTATATTATTATATTTACTATATTTACTATTTATTTTATTACTGAACTATTCTATTAGTGAACCAGCATTTAAACAGAAAGTGTATTGAAATTATGGCTGAATAAATGAACATGGCACCTTACTAAATAACAGCTGATAAGTTTTATCAAGAATATTAGGAAATGTCAATACTCATTCATAGAATAGGCATATGTACCATATGATAAATATCCAACATACTTCTGATACAGAACTTATGAAGGGACACACATTCTCGAAAACCAGAATGGTTATTCTCCCATTTTAATGGCTTAATCCCAAACTAAGGATGTGTCATAAGATTTTGAGAGGAGAAAAAGAAATCAAAATCAAGATGAAAATACTTCTTTTTTAATATGAATTCTGCATCACTTCTGCTTTACTTCAAGGGTTCTGAATGAAGAATTACTGTTTTAAGTGCTTTTCTGAGAAGACAAGTATTTAAAACAGAATGCTTAATGCTTTCCTGAATGGGATGTAACCTGACAATATCTACTTCTAGAGCAGCACAGTTTAAATAACCATATATGGTTATTTAATGAATATTTCAGTAGAGAAGGATATATAACATTTTCCAGATTATGTCTGGAGTAGAATAAAGCTACTCCATCCTTTTAATACAATGGAGTGAAAAAAACTAAGAAGGAAAACCAGTGTATCTACTCACATCACTGCGAAGATCGTAGGCATGTTTGGCATGGAGAATTTCAGGAGTGTCCCAAACAAAGCAGCCAATGCCCTTCAGCCAGTTAAGATCATCCTTGTATACCACCTAAGGTATAAGAGCAAAGAAGCAATCTGTAAGACTTCCACTAGGATCTAATCCCTTATTGCTAAATCAGTCTGAAACACAACTGTCAAATGATGGCAAGTAAGGTTTCTGGTATTTTGACTTTTTTTTTTTGTTTGAGAAAATCAAAACAATTCCTTTTGGAATTTAAATAATTTTTCTTCTTTGCTTCAGTTTGGCCAATAAATAAAAAACCCCAATGATTTTAAAAAAAACTACTTGCATATCCTACCGGGCAATGATTTACTGATAGATTGTTGGCCTACTCCTGGGCTGACCTGTGCAAGGCAAGTGCATAGAGGCTTTGCACCACCAGGATTTTCTCAAACTTCCAAAGTTTCCACACCTTATGCAACCAAATAATAAAGGACAATTTACAGACAGGGATGGCTGAACTGGTAGAACTGTAATGTTATGACCCAATGCCTACACCGATAACACTGAAATTATGCATACTAAGCCACATCTCAACTACGCACTTATTGCCAAGTGTTGCGAAAACATGATGCAGATGCTGTTCAGCAGTGCATAATACAACGGATTCAAGTAGCAACTTCAGAGTGCTCCAACTAAGTTTTTGCTAAATCATTTCCTCTAACAGAGCATAAATGCAAGAATCTTTTTAAAAAGTGAGCCACGAACACATGATTTGTGAACTTACATCACTGAGTTGATCAGTTACTTTTCGAACATGGGCATTGATTTGAAGATCTGGTAGACAGATCCATTCATGGAGATGTGTGCGGTAATCGATTTCACTGACTTTCTTCTGTGCATCCTTAGCAGAAATTATGTCCACCATGTCTGGAATAATGTGGACCTTGGCCTTATTCTTTTCATAGACTTCCTTGTACAGACGCTGCAGAGTTAAAGCAGTACATTAATAATGTTGACAAATAGTCTGAAGCATTGTTGTGGTTTACTAGCTACTAGGGAGAAAATTAACTCTATCCCAGCCAAAACCAGGACAAGCATTAACTGTTGATAAATTTGAAGCAAAATTATTCATATTTTCATGGAATGTTAGTGGGAGAGCAATCACTTTTGCTGTGACTAAAATTTACATCTTGCCTGCTCTAAAAATAATTTGCAGAACCTTAACAAGGATGATAAAATATGATTTGTCAGATTTCCATTGCACTCACATCTTGAAAGGAGGTAGTCTATGTAGTGCTCCGTTTTATACATAAACATATTACACTAAAGGTTTAGCCATGCAGGCAATTTAACAGTTGAGTCACAAGCTTGAAAAGACATTCGTAGGTGTATTATAGAAATATATATGTTCAGCAAATACTGAACGTTGCCAAATGCATGTGGAAATGTAATATCTGAAGGAAGGCATGTGGATTCTTTGAGTAGCCTCTTCTGAGATAAGTATGGGTTTATCAGGAACACACACATCAGAAAACAACACTTACATCAATATTAAGCTTTCCAACTCTAAGGCACCTTGCTGTATTGGGATCATCCTCAACACCTCTGGGTAGCGTGTACAGTGCTTTAAACTTGTCATATTCTTCTCGGTATTTTACCTAAGCAGATGCAAAGAAAAGCAACAAATAACTGACTCCAATGAGTCAACTGTATTATTGGAACAAAATTCATCAGTAAGCAAAATATTTAGTTGAGTCCACAAGCAGGGAAAGCCTTTAAAGCAGGATCTTGGTTTTCTGTTTTATTGTAAATGGCAAAGAAAGCACATCATAACTATCATGTTGTAAACATAACAACAGCTGACTAGAAGACCTTAAAAATAAATAGATGTAGAATAAGCTATTTATTTATTGTTCCAGCTCTTTCATTTAAAGATATCCATGAAGAGAGTGATCTTTCATAAGCCTCAGTTCAGTAAAGCATAAGATTAGTTTCTTCTATACTCAGTAAAGCATCATTTAAAGACATTTGGTGTTTTTCTGGCCTGGATGCTTATGCAATTTAGACTAAAAAAAAAACCCCTAACCAGACATTTTCAAGAAACAGTTTCTATTACTATAAAATGTGACTTTTTTTTCCATTAAAAGAAGCAGCAGAGGACTATCTAACTTGTATCCAAATGATTATCACAGAAAACTGATTATCTACAGATATATATTATATCTAAATTAAAAATAGAAGATAATTTAAAAAAAAAACTTTTTTATACCTATAGTATATGCAAGGCATGAAGGATTTCATTGCTAGAATTGATGATCTGATTAAAAAAAAAAGAAAGTATTTTATTCACTTACAGTACTAGCATTATGCTTCAGTTCTTTTGCACGTGCTAGGGATACAGCATCAGAGGGCATTATATAGCCAGTAGCTTTCACTTTTTCCCAGGCTTTCTTGTAGATATTCTATGGGGAAATAGAAAGTCTCTGTGAGTGGAAAAATTCTTCTCCTGGGTAATAACCAATGACCAACAGAAATCAAAAGCCCTTCTGTTTGTATTTATACGCCGTAACTATTACTTAATATCAAGAGGCTGTACACTCGTTAAATCTTGACAGTGCACATAAAGGGTGAGAAAAAAGCTTTCTAACTATTCATGTCCATTCTCATACAAGCTCTTAATTTTGTTCAGGTGCAATTTTCTTCAGGGAATCCATTTATTAATGCACGTATTTTGACAAGACTGGGAACTACAGGTAGAAAACATACCCTCTGCCTGAAATACAGCATCTTCCCCATACTCAAGCAATGCAGAGGGCTATCACTGGCTTTGATAAGCTCCATGTTTGGACATTTATCTTCAAACAGAGTGAACAAACAAAATAAAACAAAAAGCCCACATAGTAGCACCTTACGAGAAAAAAAATGTACAGAAACACTTACGTTGCTAAAGAGATGTTTCAAATTTTGAACTCTTTCAGTGTCCACTGTTTCAGTCACAGTTGTATACTTGTCCTTAGTTTTGTGGTAATCTAGCTTGTATTTCACCTGTAAGATGAAAGATAGGTTTAGTTAACTTGTTTCAATTGTCAGAAGGAGCGTGGGGAAAAGTCCAAGTAGAAAAGGTGGGGAGACTCACATCACTAGCATTTACACCACTCTGCACTGCAGTCACATAGAGAGGTGTGTCAGTAACAACACCAAAGTTCTGAAAGTTCTCTTTTCCTGCAGCTGTATATTTTATCTAAGGAAACAAAACAAAACAAAACAAAACAAGAAAACAGTAATGCTGAAAATAACCAGGAAATTCGCTGCCAGCTTCCTTTAAAATCAGTTCTGGACAACTGAATACCAGGATTACGGCCCAGTTAAGACCAACTTTAAAAGCGACAGGCCACAGAAAAGAAATAATTAATATATAGCCAATATGAACTAAGGAATAATGAAAATTGCACATCACTGTATAGCATCTAGTAGGCTAAGAGTACAATCAGCAAGGCAAGACACACTATTTTCCCAACATAAATGTCTCACTGAGATATTTTGTGCACAGGGTGGCATACAGAAAGACAAAGTGTTATCTTCTCACTGTTAAAAACCACAACCTCGCTGTTCTTCCATTCTCCTAAGTTTTCTGCTCCATCAGTAACAAAAGTGATCAGGTCTCTACAGACGAAACTGAAAGAGTATATTATAATAGTTTGAACAAAATATTTCTGACGTAATAGGAATTGCTTCATTCTGCTCTGGACTAGGACAGGTGTCAGTCCCAGTGAATCATAAATGGAAGAAAAAAAACCTTATAATTATTTACTTATTTGAGGAAAACACGCTTACTTGGCTCTGGAGGTCATACGATTTTTTAGCATGCAGGATTTGTGGAGTATCCCAGACATAACATCCAAGTCCCTTAAGCCAATTTAAGTCATCTTTATACACCACCTATATGGAATAAAACAGACTATTAAGTTAGGAAGAAATTTGCCTTCTGCTTGAAGTAAGTAGTATTTGTTTCTTCTCTATATTCAGTATCTTCCACTTGTGCAAACTCAATGCAGAAGGTTACCACTGAATCTGAACCAGGCTCGTTCAGTATTTCCAATCTATTTGGAAGTTTAAATGTGAGCACGGAGAAGACTAGCCCATCTCACGGTTTGACTGAATGATTTTTACCCACAGAATTTGCAAGGGAAACTAAACCAAGTAAGACAGCATAGTAATAGGCCAGGCAATGAACACATCATCAAATTTTATTAGGAAGGTTGGTTGGCCCAAGCTGAGATACTGTTGACTATGTAATATGAAAAAGTGTCATGGTTCAGCGTGCCATTCACCCAGCTCAGACTCTGTGGACTGATACAACCCTAAATGAACGAAGAGAAGTCTTTTCCAGACCCATTAGATGCAGGAGGATTGTGGATGCTGCCCTGGCCCCTGTGCAAATTACAGCATTCCCAATTACAATACATAACAATCACTGCAGTGCAGCAATATTCTGACTGTACCATGGTACATCCACATCTCTCCTCTGCATGTGCCAGATGGTAAGCTTTTCTATACAGTCTCATCCAGTCAAAGAGAGATTAAGTGTTGATAGCAGTGACCTTTGGGAAGGTTTCATAAATGTTAAATTAAAATTTTTCCAATTTACGAATGAATAATAAATAACCAGACCATTAAAATGTCCCAAAGAAAACTGTAAAAATGTAATTTTCGGTACTGTGCTACTAAGCAATCTAAGACCATGGTTACTAATTTCATATTTAAATACTATGGAAGATATTTGAAAGTATTTTATATTTAAATACCTTGGAAAAAATTACATGAAGGGCTACTAAAATGTCAAACAAATAAATGAAACACATACATCACTCAAAATTTCCTGGGCTTTTTTGGCTTGAATAACACAATTTTCTTCAGGTGAACAATTCCACTGATGGAGGTAAGTTCGGTATTCAAGGTCACTGAGGATATATTGGCACTTCTTGGCTAGCACATGATTCATCATGTCACTTGGAATATGGACATTTGCTTTGGTGTCTTCATAACTCTTTCTGTATGCCAACTAAAAAGGACAGATTGGGGAAAAGGCGAGAAGAGAGAATGGTGTTTGTCTGCATAATTTTGACTCTAATAGGCTACAGAGGTTATAGCATAATCTGAGGCATGCTTTCTGGACTTAGTAGCTAGCCTCCCATGGGATTCAATGGGATGAAATCTTAACTTCTATATTAATCACCATTTATTCTGATGAGGTTCTAGAAGGACAAGAATGACCTCCTTCACTTTGCAGATTTAACAGGTGCAAAAATTAACAGGACTTCCAAGATAAAAAAAGTCATATGCTACAAACATGTTTTTAATCTAGTTAAATCTCCCTGTCTGAATGAAGACAGAATATTTGGGATTATACTAACTTTATGCCCTGCATGACATGCTGTATGTGCAGTGGTGATAATAACAAAACACCAAATGTGCATTTACTTTTCCAGTTCTTAAATTCCTATTTCAGTTCAAAATTAACACTTTTTTTTGTAAAGCAAAAGAATCCCAAGTCACATAGTATTTCTTACTGCTCAGAGTCTTAAACTGAAATAGAAAAAAGTTTTTTTCCCTATTCTAATATGTCTACTAGCTAAACAAATCCCTTCTTAATCTCCTAAATCATTGCAAGTTCAATATTATTCAACCCACACACAAAATAATCATTCAGGAAACATAAACATGTTGAAAACACTTTTACTGATGTTATTAAGCATTGTATTATTTATGTTTAAATATGTCACACTAAAATAAAGAAAATGGAAAATACTACAGCAAGACTAATTCTCTCCTTACCGCACTCCTTATTTTCTGGAATGCTAGCGAATGAATGACGCTGGGGAAATCACCAATCTCCTTCCCAGCCAGGTAATGGCCTTTCAGCTTCTCATATATTTCCTTATATTTAAGCTGCAAAATATTAATGTGAAAATTGTAAAGTTCATTCTAACAACATGTAGGGGAAAAAAGAGAAAGAATGGAAAATTCATACTAACCTCACTATTTATGTAGTTTGCATGCTTCGCTCCAACAAGCGGAATATATTTCTCATCCAAAGTATATCCAATGGGCTTGCTAATTTCCCAAGCATTTTTATAAAGTTTCTAGACAAACAAAACACATAAAGGTTTTCATAAAAAATCCATTATACTTTCCAAGATACCTGACTCTGCCATTTATACACACATGGAATATGACTACTTTTACAGAGTAGCTCCTTATTCCATGAATTGTCCCAATAAAGTAAATGAAGAATGTTCATTTTGAACACTTATTCAGCGTAAGTAAGGCAAACAGAATAAGTGTTCCAATTCAGGAAGGTACCTGAGCACAATTTTGAGCTGATCGCTGCTTGCTTTACTATATTTGGAATTCAACATTTCTCATCCAGAAGAGTAATAAAAATATCCAAAATGTAGATATGAACTCTTGTTTAGAAGTGCAGTATAGAATTGACATTGATAATTTTATAGATACATGTTAAAAATTGTGAAAAATCTTCAAGGAATACTATTGTTTATTATAAGAGAATTAACTGTGTCAGTGACACTTTTCCAATACCTCATATTTTGTTAAATATTAAATATATTTACCTTCAGACTAAGTTATGAAGCACCTACTCATATGAATGAGTAGTCACTTACATTTTAAAAAAAATAGAGATTTCCCATTAAAAGTAGTGAGACTACTCTAAAGTAACCACTTAATAATGTATCATCTACAATTTTCCTCTCATAAAAAAAAAAAAGTTAATTTCATCAGTAGCCTAGGAAGATATTATTGGATGGAATTACAAATTGTTTTTGTCCCACAAACTCTACTTCTACTACTACCACTGCTACTGCTACTACTACTACTGCTATTACTACTTCCAAACACCACACAGCAGTGCTTTAAGATCAGTTCAGTAAGGAAAGAAATTATCCTTATCCCAGTGATCCAAACTGGGAAAAACTGAAGAAAAAAGAGATTAAGTAACTTCCCCAGTGCCGCCCAACAGACTAATGACAGAAACAGAAATAGAACAGTTTTCTGAAGTGCACTCCACATTCTGTCACTTTCAAAACAAACAAATTAAAGCTTAGTTAGATATTTATCAAATCTTACATCACTGTATAGTAAGGACATGTCTTTGGCATGGTTCAGCGCAGGAGTATCATCAGACCCAATATACTGGCCTTTCTCAAGGTTAAATGTTTCTTTGTATTTTAGCTACAAAAGAAAACAAACACAATGTTAATTCCACAGGAGAAATAAATTATCCCACCTAGTCCATCTATTAGAAGTAGACATTAATTTTCTGTTATATCTTCAGTAATGCTGTGTAGTACATTCCAACCACTATGCTACACAGGCAAATGTCATCAGTATGTCACACCACAAAATCCACAGAGTATTCTAGTGAAATTAAACATACTGATCAGCAAATACAGGTTAGTAGCAACACCAGAACTCCACTAGCACTATACAACTAACAGCTGTTCACCAAGAACAGGACTCAATTTTAAACTACTATAAGCAAAATCTATGTAAACTCTAAATAAGGGACATGCTATATTCTTCTACAGAAAAATGCAAAATTATTTTGGATAGCAATATTGTGTTGTTCATTTATATCACTTCTTACTAAACTTATTTACCCCAGTAAAAGCCTATTATTAATGAAGCATGCATATGCACACACACACATACATAAGGCTAAACACAGTATAGTTTAGCAAAAGCTAAACTACTTTTGCTAGCAAAAGCAAAAGTCAGCTACTAATTCTAGTAATATAACAGTTTCTATTTAAAAACAAGTACATACATCACTCTGATTGACAGAGTTAATCTTTGCCAAAACAATGTCGGGAGTGTCAACCACACTGGTATAATTGGAAAAGTTATCAAGGGCTTCTTTTGTGTATGCTCTCTGCAAAGAGATGAAATATTTTCTTAAACACTGTGCATGAGAAAGAGCAGCTAATCGCATAACTGCTAAAATATTTCCTCTTACCTTATTTACCAGTTCTTGTGCATTCTTAACTTTCTTATGTTCCACTGAATCCAGAGGAATCCAACCACAGCCACGAAGCCATTCCAAATCAGATTTATAAATATTCTAAATCATAAAAGATAATAAAAAAGGAAAGAAATTATTTAATTCAGGATGACGTTTTTCAGTTTTATGTAATATGGACAATATACTTAGACCAAACTAAGTGGAAATGACATAGTATGTATGTAGTATCACTTACATCACTTTGCAGATCGTAGGCCTTCCTTGCCTGAATACAGTCGTTCTGGTCAGGATGGCATGTCCATTCATGCAGGTATTGGCGGTAGTCAATATCACTGACCAAGGTCTGACACTCCTTCGCTGCTACAACTGACATCGTATCCGGAGGGATGTGAATTTTGGACTTTGTTTTGTGATAGTCTGATTTGTACAATCTGTCATTCTGGATCTCGCCTGCATGCTCAAACCACACCAGTTTTGGATCATCTCTCATACTGGCAACTCCAACATAGTGACCTCTTTGTTTGACATAGTCAGCTTTGTATTTAAGCTAATGGAAGAGGGGAGAAAGAAGTATAAAATCAGCACTGATTATATCTGCTCTGTTTTTAACCTGTGAACAGCTATGGTTTTGTCAACACAAAGAATAGATGAGGCAGTGAGTTGTCAACTGCAGTCTTAGGTTTTCAGTACACAACAAGATAAAAATATGACACAAACAGTAACATTACTTTGTTTAGTCCTTGCACTTCAAAATATATCGTTTTCTAGACTAATATGGTACCATTTTTCAGTAAACAGTATTTTCAACACAAGAGGAAAGCCTTGTTAGAAAATGTTTATTAATAAGTGCATTTAGACTCAGTTTTGTAACAAATTTTTGTAACAAATTATTTGAGACTGCCTGAAGAGTGGATGCTTATTTAAGGTATTTACATCACATTGTTTTGATAAAATGTATGTTCAAACTAAGAGTCATGTAATAATTTCAACACCCGTTATGCAAAAGTTTTAAATGTAATGTACATACCATCCTACAGTTTTTCAAGGAGGAAGCCTCCATAATATGCCAAAAAATGAAATCAGAGCTATATATTACAACTATAATATCACTTCAATTATTTGTCATTTATAAAATATGGAAGTCCACCTTAGTTGATGTTGAAAGGACTATTTCTGGAGAAAGTGAAGGTGGAAAGGAGAATCTGACCTTTTAGCACTGATATCTGTAAAACCCACAATAACAAAGATGGCTGAATTGTTTGGAGGACAGTGGACTTCATGGGTCATGAAGAGTCTACTGGATGCTACCCCTAATGGAAAGCTTTCTATGTCTGTTGTTGAATTTGCAAGGCCTTTAACATTTCTGGGCTTCCAAGCACTTGCCTTCCTAATGAGAAAAATTATTACCTCACTTTGGACATCATTTGAGTGTTTGGCATGACAGATCTGCACAGTGTCAGGAGGTAAGAGGTAACCAGTGGCTTTTTCTTTCTCCCAACTTTCCTTGTATAAATTCTGTGGAAAATAAAAGTGAGGAGGAATTCAACACTACTATAATGATAATTATTACCATATATATGTAACCTATATTAAAGTATAAGGATAACAAATCCTTCCTTTAGGATGTTCTTAATAAGGCAAATTTTCTAAATTTCTCAAAGGAGTTATTAATGTGAATAGAAATTGTCAAGGAGAGATCACGTACCTGATTAAGAATTCTGGCTGCCTCTCGGGCCATATCTAGCTGTGGTGTATCTGTTAGAGTATAATTTGACTTGACCTCATTCCATGCTTTGTGGTATTTAACCTAGAAGAGAGAAAGAAATTACTGCCTTGCAGCACCGTCACAAAATTGGGAAAACATAATACCAAGACCCATATTTTATGCATGAAATAATGTATAAAACCCTGAATTTGGAAGGCTATTAGACATGATACATTAAATATACATCCAAATGAGTATTTTTTAAAAAAGGAAATTATACAAGACTAGAAATTACAAAATTTCTCAGAGGAAATTTTGAAAACTTGTTCCGAGGCAGCTGGATGGACAGGGAAGAATCATCAGAAGTCAAAGTTCTGCTACCTGTTTGGTCTACAGGGATGTACAGCCAATAGCCAAGCAAGAAGTGTTTGAACAAGGGCAATAGATTTTAAGCTTTTTAAGAGCAAATCTCTTTACTCAGCGTGATCTCTATGTGCATGCAGCATTATAGCATCTCCCAGCCACAGATATCTACACTGAGTCATGTTCCCAAGCACAGGACATGCCCAAATGGGTGCATGTGGTTGCATGGCAGTATGCCATTCAATCCAACCGTATCATTGTAATTGCCAACCTTTTACCAGTGTTTGAGTTAATGTAAGTGTTTAGCTTGGCCTGTTCTCTAACAGAAGCATACAGTAAAAAAGAAACACAAACTCATGAACTGAGAGGGGGTTGTGTCATTTCATGTTCACAGACCAGCTCCTCACAGACTAGTCTTCAAAAACATATAAAGAATGGCAAGCTGACAGCGCACCAGTTTTGCTCATGTTTCTTGTTACACAGTAGTTAACTAAAAAGTATAACTCATATTGGCTGAGTGAGAAGGATTAAACACTGTGGTTGCCAGAGTGCAAGTGGCTATTTATGTTCGTGTTGTCAATGATCACCAATTATATCAGCCAAGACTGAAAGAAGGGACTGGTTGCAGAACTGGCACTGGCTTTTCACATGTCTAGGAAAGATGTTATTCTGCTTAGGAATATTAGCTTATTCCCTCGTAAGTGATGGAGATGAGCTAGTGAAGTCCTGTTCATCTTTATGTCATACATTCACAGAATTCCCAGAGACTGATCAAGAATTCTTTTGCATTTTTTTAAAAGATAAAATAAATAGCCTTTTAAAGATAAATTCCTACCATGTAAATATACAGACCAAGTTAACAGCCCGGAAACATGCTAGCAAACTTACATCACTAAGAATTTCACCACTATTCTTTGCTGTGATATAATCAACTCTGTCCGCCACTGGAGTAAATGGAAGAGTTTCGGCTTTTGTACGGTACTTTCTCTATACAAGAGAAAAGATGAACAGTCAGATTATACTGGAATATTTTGTAGCTAACACAGCAATTCTGAATACATAGGCAAGACAAGAAAGTTTACATGGAAAGAAAAACTCTCCATACACAATGAATGCTGTGGAAATACTCCAGTTGTATTTTTTATTTAAAAAAATACTGATGTATTTAACCATTAAAAATACTTTAAATTACAAATACCCTTAAGAAAATTTTAGTATTGAAAAACATTCTGTTACCTCACTCAAGAGATCTCCAGCATATTTGACATGGTTGATCCCAACTGAATCATTTGGCAACCATCCAATTCCCCGTAGCCATTCTAAATCAGATTTGTAAATAGCCTGGGAAAACAAAATAGGGTCCATGCTGTTAGTTACAGTTCCCTGTACAATCCAGCAAGATTCATAAATAATGACCCTTACTTCCCCTGGTTAAAGGGAGAGCAGTAATTCCAACCTGAGCACTGTATCTGAACTTATCACACTTCAAACTTGCCAATATATAACAGTGGCATATACTTTGCATTCCTCATAACAGCAAAGCCAATTCACTGAATTCAGCAGAAGATTCCCACTACTTAGAGCTGAAGCAGACTAATAAGAGACAATACAGTAATAAGTTAAGCTAAGTTTTCATGTTAACTTACATCACTCTGAAGATCGTAGGCCTTTCTAGCCTGTATGACATCATTCTGATCTGGAAGACAGATCCACTGATGCAAGTAATGACGGTAATCAATATCACTGACCAAAGACTGACCATGTTTAGCTGATAGGATAGATAGCATGTCTACTGGTAGGTGGCACTGTGTCTTCCATTTGGCAAAGTGTTTCTTGTATTCTAGTTCACTCTGAACTTTGCCTATGCCGAGGGCAAACTGCATTTTTGAATCTGCTTTTGCATTTGGAACTCCAACATAATGTCCTTTCTGCTTCTCGTGATCCAGTTTGTATTTGTACTGGGTAAAGAGCAAAGATCACCATTACTAACAGTTATCACGAAATAGCTCTTAAAGCATGTGAAGAGCTAGATGCCTCCTTTGGCACTTACATCACTAGCAATTTCTCTAGAAGCTTTGGCTGCCTTGATTGGGATTGCATCTGCTCTCAAATCGCAACTCATCTTCAACTCATCCCAAGCTTCTTTATACAGTTTCTGAAAAGACAGCAAAATGTCACACATATGCTAAATACTCTGGCATTTGCCATTAACGAAACACATAGTTTACTGGTATTTGTTTGCCAAAATACTGTGAGAATTTTTCGTGCACTACTCCTGCTCCTAGCCATAAATACTGCTGCAAATCTTACTGACTTTCAAACATGTACAGTACCTGCAACACCAGTTTTGCAACCTATACTGCATAGAAGGGTGTTTGTAAAAGTTTAGAAAATATTTGTATGCCTTGGGCTCTCATCCATTTCAACAAAATATTATCTCAATGGTGCATGATATTAATTTTTAAAAAGCTGTATGCAAGCATTTATTTTAAAATGTCTAAATATTTTAAGAACGCTCAGCAGAGGGAAGGGAATGTTGCAAGCTCTGTATGAGGACAGACTTCAATGAGATTCATGTGACTTAACCTTCAACTTTGTAAGCAACATCTTAGAATGTTAAAATTCACAGGATAGACATACTATTTTACAGAAATGTAGAAAATAGAATGATAAGCATACCTGGCTGTAATTAACAGCATTAGTCTTGGCTAGGTTGATTTCAGGTGTGTCTGGCAAAATATGGATCATAGTCTTGTCCTTTTCCCAGGCTTCTTTGTATTTTGGCTGTTAAAATAGTTCATTTTATGATATTGTAATTATGGAATTACATTTGTCAGTAACATAAAATCCCATAAATCTCTCCTGAATTATCATATTTAAAAAATAAAATGTCTGGAAAAGCATTAAACTTGACTTAAAATACCACTGATCAATTTTATATTTTAGCAGTGAGAATTCTCTTTAACTTTTTATAGCCTTGAAACAACTTTAAGAACATTGTAACGTACAATGCTGACTTGTTCGGCATTCACTTTAGCTAGAAGAACGTCTGGAGAATCAACAATACTGGTGTATTTCAGGCTTTCAATAGGTGTACGATACACATTATCACTCAGGAGTTCCTGGGCATGCTTCACTCTCTTAACATCCGGAGAGTCATTAGGCAACCAGCCAATTCCACGGAGCCATTCTAGGTCTGACTTATAGACAGCCTATATCAGACATGGTCAGAAAAGGAAAACATTGTGTTTAAAATGACTGTCTTAATTATTTTAAACTATATAAAGCAGTAGATGTTTTAGAAAATGTCAAATCAGCTACAGCTAGATTAATCATTTTTATATACAAGAGATGTTCAGTGTCATAAGTAAAATACAATCTGGGAACCAGATTTTAAGTAGTTCATTTCTTAAACAATACATTCTAAACCTTATGCAGTTAAATAGAGGGAAAACAACTGAACAGAATTGCCGTTAACGATGATGAGTATTAAGATCTTAAAAGAGTCTTCCTGTCCCCTCCAAAATACTTACTCCTCTAGTCACTTCAACAATTTACAAGTCCAAAAAAAACCCAAGCTGCCCGCCAGGAAATTTCACAAAAAAGAGGGAAAAAAAAGGTTACAGAGGTAATAGGGACTAGAACTAACGGGCATAACACCTCAAGTGGTATCAGGCAACATTATTTAAGTTTTAATTGAACAAATTCTTCAGCAAGGAGCATGAATGTCACCTCCAAGGCTGATAATTGAAAGAGAGGAAGAGTGACTGATAAGCAGCAAAGCCAAGTCAGGAAATCAGCTGCACTGACTCCTCCTGCTTCAAAACCAGCCACTAAAACATCTTACCTGCTATCTTACATAGTTTTCTTGCAATTAAATAAGTCGACTCAGATAAAGAGGAGTAATAAAAGCTACCTGATTCTAAAGTAGCAAACAGATGTTATTTCATAAGTCCCATCAAAGTAAGAGAGACAAATCCTTCATCCTCTCCAAATCACAATACTCCAAAAGCATATGTAACATAGCAGACACTAACTAAAGCTTTTATAACATTTAGAGGTAATACCAATACTTTTTAAAGGATAAAACGAGCGGATAATAACAGTAACATGAAAAACTGAAAAAAACAGCCTAAAGATAAATCTTTGTGACTGTATAGTATCAAAACATCAAAATAAGGATATAATATATCAAATAGCAACAGTAGTAACTACCACATCTCTATACAAACGCACATCGCTCTGTAGGTCGTAGGCCTTCCTTGCATGGATCACGTCATTCTGGTCAGGCAGACAGGTCCACTGGTGAAGGTACTGGCGGTAGTCAACATCACTGACTAGCGTCTGGCACTCCTTGGCTGCCTGCACTGACATCGCGTCGACTGGTATGTGGACCTGGGCCTTTGAATCATGGTACGCCTTCCTGTAAAGTCGGTCGTTCTGCAGCAACATGGCACGCGCAGCCCACGACAGCTTGGGATCCTCCTGGGCAGTTTGGCACCCAATGTAGTGGCCTTTCTGCTTCTCGTGCGTTTCTTTGTACTTGTACTGGAAATGCAGAAACAACGTAAGCAGCCACACATTGCTCACCTGAACGTGACTAACGAACAAAAGGCTTTCAGCTTCCTAAGCTGTCAACCCTTTGAACTGAACTTCACTCAGTTCTGCTGAGGTGGACGCAGGAAGAGACAGACGCAGCAACCACGTTAAGAGAAGACTGTACCTCACTAGCAATGTCTCTGGAAGCCTTGGCGTGTTTGATGGGAATGGCATCAGCTCTTATGTCATAGCTTTTCGCCTTGGCCTCGTCCCAGGCCTTCTGATAATGTTTCTGCAAAGAAAATTAATCACCCTTTTTACATGTGGTCAAGACTCTCTGACACCAATGCCTTTTATTAAAACCTCCTCTGGAAGAGCATTTGTCATACCCTTAATGTAATAAGGCTTCACACGCATAATGATTTTATTCTCTTACATTGCTGATGTTGAGAGCATTGGCTTTGGACTGCAGCATTACAGGAGTATCAGAAGGTATGGAAATCTGCGTCTTATCTCTATCCCAGGCTTCACGATACAGATGCTAAGGAGAAAGGAAGCATAATGACATTTCACTATGGTCTGAACACTTAAAAAAAAAAAAACAAACCACCAGCAGAAATTCTTTGGTAATTCTGATTTGCAATACTTTCCAGTTAGTCATTCCCATGGTAGAAATTCTACTCTCCACCACAAAGAAAAGAAATGTCATCACATAAATGAAAGGTAAGTGAAAGGTAAGCTTACGTCACTGATCTGCAAAGCATTGATCTTAGCCTGGACAACGTCTGGCGTGTCAGTAATGCTAGTGAATTTCATCTCCTCCGGCCGCGTGCGGTACAACCTCTCATTCAGGAGTTCCTGGGCTTTCTTTGCTTTCACCACATCCACAGAACCTTCTGTCAACCAGCCGACGCCTCGCAACCACTCCAGGTCTGACTTGTACACATTCTACAAATAAACCAAGGGTTACTGACCTTGCCGAGACAACTCTACGTGCAGAGAGGTTTCGTACAGGCCTTTCCCCAAGCTCCTTCT